TGTGATTTATCGATCGGGTCGTGCTGGGGTGTGGTCGTGCTGGGGTGTGGTCGTGCTGGTGGTCGTGCTGGGGTGTGGTCGTGCTGGGGTGTGGTCGTGCTGGGGAGTGGTCGTGCTGGGGTGTGGTCGTGCTGGGGGGTGGTCGTGCTGGGGGGTGGTCGTGCTGGGGGGGGGTTCGTGCTGGGGCGTGGTCGTGCTGGGGCGTGGTCGTGCTGGGGTGTGGTCGTGCTGGGGTGAGGTCGTGCTGGGGGGTGGTCGTGCTGGGGTGTGGTCTTGCTGGGGTAGGGTCGTGCTGGGGTCGGGTCGTGCTGGGGTGTGGTCGTGCTGGGGTATGGTCGTGCTGGGGTGGGGTCGTGCTGGGGTGGGGTCGTGCTGGGGTCTGGTCGTGCTGGGGTGTGGTCGTGCTGGGGTATGGTCGTGCTAGGGTGGGGTCGTGCATTTCGCTCGAGACATCCTGCCAAAATTCCAGGAAATCGTACAAAAACAAAGGAATTAGTCGAGACATCATCGAAATTCCTTCGCGCGGGGCGCTTTTCCGCGTCGCGGTCGGCTCTGCAAAACAAGCGTTTCGCTCGAGACATCCTCGGCAAACTCTGCGGAGCAAGCGTTTCGCTCGAGACATCCTCAACACACGAAAAAGTGGCCCGCACCCTGTGATTTATCGATCGGGATTTCAAAAACAAGCGTTTCGCTCGAGACATCCTCAAATTTTAATTCGCCGGCCTCCTTCGACCTCGTTATTTATCAGGGAAAAAATTCGCCGGCCTCCCTCAAGCAGGCACCGGGGGACTAGGTTTACCTACTAAAAGAGAACCCTGGGCCAAAGCCCTTTCCGGGAAAAATGGTCAAGAAATCGTTTCCAGGCTATGTTTTGACTGCTCTGGAATTTTCCTCCTGTAAAGGGACAGGCCCGACTTAACCCTAAAAACACACCCGACACACACGCACACATACACACACACACACTCACTTTTTGGTCGGCGGGGCGAGAGCGAACCTCTTCCGCTAAAAGCTAGGCGGGCTACGCACAGCTCTAATTGGGGAGACAGGGCACAGACACACGCACACACGCACACGCACGCACGCACGCACGCACGCACGCACGCACGCACGCACGCACGCACGCACGCACGCACGCACGCACGCACGCACACACACACACACACACACACACACACACACACACACACGCGTGCGTACACAACATCTTCGTCGGCTGCGCGCACGGCGGCAGAAGCGGTGGCGGTCGTCGGCGAGAGCGAGAGAGAAGCCCAAGCTCCAGGCCAGGCTTAATTCGGGCGTGCCCCCCTACAGGGGGATTTGCGACGAAAACAAATACTCACTAAATACCCTCAAAATGGTCAAAAATATTCAAAAAAAGGTCCCCAAACTATTTTACTATTTCCCCACATGCTTCGTGGGGTTCTGGTTTTCTTCCTTGCCGCGCCGCACCCGCGACACTCACACACCTCTCACACACCTCACCTCTCTCTCTCCTTCTCACACAGCGCAGCACAGCACAGCACAGCACAGCACAGCACAGCTCAACGCAGCACAGCACAGCACAGCACAGCACAGCACAGCATAGCACAGCTCAACGCAGCACAGCACAGCACAGCACAGCAGAGCACAGCACAGCACAGCTCAGCACAGCTCAGCTAAGCTCGGCACCGCACAGCACATCACGGCACAACTCAGCACAGCATAGCACACAAGGCAGGCGCGCAGGGCACGGCACGGCAGAGCGTGACACGGGTGGCATTTTCTCGACACCGGAGAGTGTGCGCAGGGGGTGGTCCCTCAGCGAGGTCTCTATGCATGCAAACGCATAAGATTTAAATTAAGTAGACGGTTGCGCTACCGAGGAACCCCACATACTTAATTCCCCACATGTTGCACCCGCGTCTCCTCACACCTCCCCTCCTCCCTATTCTTCCTCTCCTCACCCGCGCTCAACACATGCACGGCAAGCACATGACACACGCGTCTACATACAGCCGCACGCATGCACACATTCGCACACACAACACACACACACACACACACACACACCATACAACGCTAGTGCGCGCCTGGCGTGTTCACTGCACCACACATCCACGACATGAGACACGTCCCGATATGGCCGCTATGCACGACGGTCGTCCACGCAAAGCACGCGTGGCACGTCCTCGACACCAGAGGGGGTGCGCTGGGGGTGGGGGCCCTATGCGTTTCGGGCTCGCAAAGCGTGGCAGGCGTGGCACTTCCTCGACACCAAAAGGGGGTGCGCTGGGGGTGCGGGCCCTATGCGTTTCGGGTTCGCAACGCGTGGCAGGCGTGGCACCTCCTCGACACCAGAGGGGGTGCGCTGGGGTGGGGACCCTATGCGTTTTCGAGCATCCGCAAAGCATAGAGCGTGGCAGGCGTGGCACTTCCTCGACACCAACAGGGGGTGCGCTGGGGGTGCGGGCCCTATGCGTTTCGGGTTCGCAACGCGTGGCAGGCGTGGCACCTCCTCGACACCAGAGGGGGTGCGCTGGGGGTGGGGACCCTATGCGTTTCGAGCTCGCAAAGCATGGTACGCGTGGCACTTCCTCGACACCACAGGGGGTGCGCTGGGGGTGGGGGCCCTATGCGTTTCGGTGTCGCAAAGCGTGGCAGGCGTGGCACTTCCTCGACACCAGAGGGGGTGCGTCGGGGGTGGGAGCCCGTATCTTGTCAAGAACTGTAGATTGGGTGGGACGAGGAGGAGGAGGAGGACGACGACGACGACGACGATGACCACGAGTGCGGCGACGAGTACGACGAGCACTCCGAGTACAACGAGTACGACGACGACGAGTGCGACGACGAGTGCGACGAGCACGACGACGAATGCGAAGACGAGTACGATGGCGAGGTACGACGACGAGTACGATGACGAGTAAGACGATAGAACAGCGACGAGTACGACGACGAGTACGACGAGTACGACGACGAGTACGATAAGTACGACGACGATTCGCGACGAGGGTTTAGAACGCAGGATTGCGCATAGATGATAATGACAAGCAAACACATAAGATTAAAAATCAGTGTGTGGGGTTCCTCGGTAGAGTAATTTTGAAAATTCCCCCTGCAGAGGGACTCGCTCGACTTAAGGCCAGGCGAAAAGAACAAGTACAAAAACACACACAGACACACACACTCAAACACACACACACACACACACACACACACACACACACACACACACACACAAACACACACACACACAAACAAACACATGCATCGTCAGTGCTGTCGGCAATGTCGTAGCCGCCGTTTGGGATCTACGGACAGGAAGCGCTGCGCCCAGCAGGGCACCTGAGCAAAACTGGCCGGTGGAATACCCTCCCAAAGCCCAGTGGACATGCTGCTCGCATCTGAAAGAACTGCAGCGTTGCCCACCACATCGACAGCAGAAGGGAAAGGGGGGAGGGGAGGGGGGCGGAGAAGGAGGCTCACGAGGAAGGAGTGGGGCAATGAGCCAGTGGGCTCCTCGAGGTTCCTCTGTCACTACCTTTGGCATTTATGTTGGACTCGGGCGCAGTGCCCGTGGCTCTGCAGAAAGAGCACAGTTAGTGCATGGGCTGCCCAGGGCACATCTACAACTTGTCATTGGGCGGCAGAGGGAACGGGGAGGGCCTGCGCTGCCGCCGTCGCGTCGCCGCCGCCATCACGTCCCCTCATTCCCCTGAGTCCGTCGCCGCTCCCCCCCTTTCCTTGGGCCATCGTCCTCAAGCGCGCCAGAAAAAGCAAAATACACCAGCCCATCCACAGCGAAAGGAATCAGCGTCGTCATCGAGTCGAAGGGAGGCCCATTCCTTCTGATCCCCTCCCCACGGGGGGTGGGGGATCCCAGGGGGTGGTCCTGGGGGGTGGTCCTCGGGGGTGGTCCCGGGTCAGAATACCACCCTCCCGGCCCGCCCTCTCCCTCCCATTTCCATCGAGGGCCGAGGTCTCCAGGGTCGGCGGCACCAGCCGCAAGGCCTTCGCAATAGTTAATGTATGGGCTGCACAAGGCACATCTACAACTCGCCATTGGGAGGCAAAGGGAATGGGGAGGGCCTGCACACGTCAGAAGATACTGCGACCTTCGCGGCTCATTACGATGGAGGCCTGTCCACAAGAAACCTTCCACAAGAGACCCAACCCTGGCACTCCAGGACGTCCACTGACTTCTGGCGTGGGAACTTCGCGCGAACCCAAGAAACCCAGGGCACCCTAGAGGCAAGCAGGGGTGCATCTTGGCGTGGGCCCCCGCTGCACGCCGGCAGATGGCGCGGCACAGGCCGCAGCAAAGCGACGGGCGCCTGCGCGGCGCCCTACGCGGGCAGCGCACGCGCGAACGTCCACGCGATCGGCTCGATCTGCTCAAGCGGCCCGATGTATGAGGACGGCACAACCCACCTCCTCCTCCTCATCCTCCTCCAGCATGAGCCCCCACTCCCGACGTGATGATCCAGGGGGTCCTGGCTGGGGGTGAAGTGGCTCTTGCCGCCACGCAACAATCCCCACCCCCGGCCAGAGCCCTCTGGATCTAGGGGGAACACAAACCTACCTCGCTTTTGACCACCCTCGCTTCCAAGAGATACCAAACGATGCCAAATTGCAGCCCGTACTGGTCAGGCCGCTTGACGAGGAGGCGCGTGGTATGGCTTGGTTTTGCCTGGAAGCGAAAGCGGGGTAAGTAATTCACGCTCTGAGGATCACCGGGTCGGGAGTGGGGTCCTGGCTGGGGATGGGGGTGGGCTGGGCTGTTCTCCATGTAGTTATGCAGGTGCTCGGGCGACCGAAGGGCGTTCCGCCACGAAGAGCCGCGGGTGAGCACGCACGCTCTCGCGCCCCTGGCAGCCGCAGCAGCGGCAGCGGGCAGGAGTGGCCGATGCCCCGGGGAAGCGGGCGCGCTGGTTTTGCCTTCACGGCCAGCCGAACAAATGACGTGTGCCACGGTCTGCGAGGCACGGGTTGAAAAAGCGGAGGTCATAGCCCACCGCTCACCGCAGAGGCGAGTCAGTGTAGAGCGCCCAGTCGCCCCATGCGGATCCCGTCAGGCCATCCTGATAGAACATGCCGATGATGGCCATCATCGCCAGCCTACCGTTCGCGATCTCCGAGTTCAGCTTGCGAGTCCGAGCCTCGCCCAGGGGCATGGTGCTGCCGTTGGGGACGCCGAGCACGCCCCCGTTCGCGAAGTCGCCAGGCGCGCGCGTCGGGTCGTGCACGAAGACCGCCTTCTCGATGCAGCCGATGAAGAGGAAGATCTGCACCCATCCTGGGCGGCACGCAGGGAGGGGGAGGGGGGAGGGGGGAAGGGCTCCTCAGAAGGAGGCTGCTAGCTTAGAAGCCGCCGGCCCTGCCATCTACAGAGCCCGGGCCCGCGCCCTCTAGGAAGCAGGGTGCTCCTGAGAATAGAAGAAGACAACCGCCATAAACCTAAACATTTGGCGCTCCGCGCCGATTTCTTGGATCTGTGCTGGACCCCCCTCCCTGGTTCGCGGAGCGTGCCAGGGGCGGCGCCACAGGCGCCGCCAGGCTGTCTGGTGATTCAGGCTGAAATAGGTTGGAATATCATACTGCTAGTTATCGCACGTTTTCTTCGTCAATTCTTAGAAGCCTTCCCCCTCCCATGCCTAGAGGAAGCCAAGACGCCATAAGCCTAAACTCCTGGCGCTCCGCGCGGACCTCCGAGTTTCTACGCTTCTGTCAGTCCTTCGTTCCCCCGGCCTTCCCCCCTCCCCCATACCACCACCCCCCTTGCGCGTGTCAGCGCCCCTCTAACGGGGACTCCACTAACGTGTACTTTGGCCAGTGACCCTGCGAACCTAACCCTCCCCGATGTGGGCAACGCTGCAATGCCACAAAAAGGCCCTAAAGTGGCAACTTTCGGCATAATTTCAAAGTACCCGTTAGTAAGTACCCGTTACGGTGCCGTTGAGCGTGGCCGACATCCTGCGCCCGGCACCTTCGAGATAGCGGCCAGGCCGTTCGGGATGTCCTTGAACGCCAGGGCCTCGCGCCGGCGGGGCGCGAAGGCGAGGGCGAGGGCGAGGTGAGGCCCCCGCCGCTCGTCGGCGGGCGCGGGGCGAAGGCCCTCTGGAGGGGCACGGCCACATACGGTGAGGGCCCCGGCCTCTTCAGAAGGTCCTCCTCCTCCTCCTCCTCCTCCTCCTCCTCCTCCTCCTCCTCCTCCTCCTCCTCCTCCTCCTCCTCCTCCTCCTCCTCCTCCTCCTCCTCCTCCTCCTCCTCCTCCTCTTCCTCCTCCTCTTCCTACCCCCCAAGCTGGTCCCAGGAGGTCGAGCATGGCTCAAGATAGCCTCCGACAGACATCTAAGAGGCCTCAAGACAGGCTCAAGAAGGCTCGGGATAGCCTCCGACAGCCTCTACCCGAGCATGGCTCAAGACAGCCTCCGAGAGGCCTCAAGAAAGCCTCAGATCGTGTCTGGATGGGCTGGTGGGGAAACGCGAAACGTCAAGAATTGAAGGCCCTGGTCTCTTCAAAGCTCCCCCGTCCCTCACCCTGGCCCACTTTGCTCGCCGCTGGCCTTAGACGGGGAGCAGTCGCCCGGCCATCTGTAAAACTCTGGTGTGATGTACCCAATGGCGGCGTACATGGCCACGCGGCCGTGCTTCAGCTCGGTGGCGCGCCTGCGCTTGAACGCCTCCACGTCGCCGTCCGCGCACATGCCGGCGGGGTCCCAGAAGCCGAAGGGCGCCTGAGCGCCCAGCTCGTTCTCGAAGGCGCGCAGCGGAGAGTCCGTGTAGAGCGCCCAGTCGCCCCATGCAGAGCCGGTCAGGCCGTCCTGGAAAAACATGCCGATGATGGCCATCATCGCCAATCGGCCGTTGGCGATTTCGGCGTTGAGCCGGCGCTTCCTGGTCTCGGGATCGGCGCTTGTCAGCAGGGGAGGCTTCCAGCCCACGTTGCCGGGCTCCGTCTTCGCGTCTTCGTCGTAGCCCTGCTGGATCTCGCAAAAGGCGAACCAGGAGGCGATCTGGAGCCAACCCAGCCCAGGGACCTTGGAAATGGCAGCCAGGCCGTTCGGGACGTCGGCAAACTTCAGCCCCTCGGACTTGCTGAGGTAGCCTGGCCACTTTCCAGCCACCTCTGGCGTAATGTAGCCCATAGTGGCCATCATGCAGATCCGGCCGTGCTTAATCTCAACGGAGCGGCGGCGCTTGAAGGAGCTGACGTCACCGTCCGAGGACAGGCCCAGCGGGTCCCAGAAGCCAAGGGGGGCCTGCACGCCGAGCTCGCTCTCGAAGGCGCGCAGGGGGGAGCCCGTGTAGAGCGCCCAGTCACCCCACGCGCTGCCCGTCAAGCCGTCTTGGAAGAACATCCCAATGATGGCCATCATGGCAAGACGACCGTTCGCGATCTCGGCAGCAAGCTTCTTCTGCCTCTCTGCAGGGTCGCTGGAGGTCAGCAGCTTGAACCCGAACTCTCCGCGGGAGGCGGGAGAACCTTAGAGGAACAAAAAACAACATGAGCTCAAACGTTCGGAGTTCCGCGCGGATTTCGTGGATCGGCGCTGGAACCCCCTCCATGGCGCGCGGAGCGCGCCAGGGGCGGCGCCGAAGGCGCCGCCAGGAGGGCCCAGCGCCGATCAAAGACATCCGCGCGGATCTCCTAAAGGTTCTGTTCATGCACTTGTTTCTTCTTCGACGCCTGGGATCGTCTGGTCCTGCGAGATCTCTACGTACGCGCAGTACAGGAACATCTGCCCCCACCCCGCCAAGGGGACCTTAGAGAGCGCTCCGAGCCCATTCGGGATGTCCGCGTACTTCAGGCCAGTGCTCGGAGAGAGGTAGCCCGGGAAAGGTCCTGAGAGCCAACGACAGGAAAGACTGGCTCAGCAGTGGGGGGGGCATCGACCTGGAATCGGCGATACATCACCGATAGATCGGCGACAGGCCCCCGATAGCCAATCCGCACGTTCCGGGGCGGGGCGGGTCATCGGGCCACTATCGCCGACAAATTAGCGAGTGAGACCGATGCTTCCCCCCACGAGCCCGTCCCCCGCCTCAACGTTGACCCTGAGGTCCGATCAGCTGGGGGGTGATGTAGCCCATGGCCGCCAGCATCGCGACGCGGCCGTGCTTGATCTCGGTGGCGCGCCTGCGGGCGAAGTCCGCCGCGCTGCCGTCGGCGGTGAACCCCGCCGGGTCCCAGAAGCCGGCGGGGGGCTGCACGCCCAACTCGTTCTCGAAGGCGCGCAGCGGAGAGCCCGTGTAGAGCGCCCAGTCGCCCCACGCAGAGCCGGTCAGGCCGTCCTGGAAAAACATGCCGATGATCGCCATCATGGCCAGGCGGCCGTTGGCGATCTCCGCCGCAAGCTTCTTCTGCTTCTCCGCGGGGTCGGTGGACGTCAGCACCTTGAAGCCGAAGTCACCCGCCGCGGCAGCGGTGCCAGCGGACTGGTCCTGGAGGCTCGGAGGTGGAAGGTCTCCCACGGAAAATCAGGCGAAAGAGGATGACGAAACGAGGCCGATGCTCAGCAAAGGCGATGGCAATGACGATGCTGATTCAAACGGGCTCAGCGCGTGCGTCTGCTTCTCGACCTCAGCCTCACACGTCTCCCCTTCCCCTCTTTCCCCCACCTGAGAGGTAGAGGGAGAGAGGGTGAGAGAGGGGGGGAGAGAGAGAGAGAACAACGAAACAAGAGAGAGAGAGAGAGAAACGCCTAGGACTAGGAGTGAAGTACCGGTGTACGAAAACTCGCGGAGTAGAGTAAGACTCGAGCACATTGGAAGTAGGATGGGGCTCATACGAGCCAAGCAGAAGCCAAGAGGATGTTGAGCAGTAGCTTAGATTGCGAATGAGGTGCACGTGTGAGTTGCGCAGCACAAAATTAATGTTTCTAGCCCTTCACGATCCCTACCTTTCTCCGAACATGAGCCTATCACACGCTCTGCTCTCGCTGTCCCCCATATACATACGCATACTCTTAGTTTCACCTACACCCCGCTTCCTGCTCCCACCAAATCGCATGCACACATGCGGATAATCCTAATCACTTCCTGCTCCTAGTTCGAATTCTACCCTCAACGCTCCTACCCAGATCCCTGCTCACATTCAAACTCCTCTGGGTCATATGCAAACTCCTGCTCATTACTAGAGGCTTGCTCCTGCTTCGACACCTTTACCCTGTGTCTACCCTTAGCCAGACCCATATCATTCCAAACCCTGCCTCGAACTCTTGGCCCGACTCCTACTTGAATAGAAAGTTGACTGGCTTGAACACAAATAGCTCAACACCTATAGCTCTCAAGAATGCGGAGGGGCTTAACGAACACGATTTGCACATGTAGGTTCTGTCGTACTGGGCTACGGCTAAAATGGGTTAAAGTCGTGGCAGTGCATGGCTATACTGAGAGGGGGCAACACAACATATGATCGTGAGAAAAGCTGTACCACGAGGGGGATCGGTAGGAGCTGGCAGGGCGCAACACGATTAGAACAAAGAACCTGTACAGACATGCACATAATGTGCACCACATAGCTTACACAGCATAGCTATACCACGTTGAGTGCATCGCACAGCTTGCACCACATAGCTTGCATCACATAGCCTGCACCCCATAGCTTGCACAACATTACTTACACCACTTAGATGGTACCACATAGTTTATAGCTCACGCCACATAGCTTCAACCGCACATGTTGCACCACCTAGTTTACTCCACCAAGTTTGCACCACCTAGTTTGCAAAACATACAGTTATCACATAGGCTGCCACCGCTTGGCGTACAGAAACACATGTGACCACATAGCTTTCACCACATGATGAACACCATCGCGGTAACACAACATAGCTTGAACCCCGTAGCTTGCAAACATAGCTTACTCCACAACGCCTACACCACGTGACTTACAAAACTTAGCTTGCATCACGTAGCGTACACCACCTAGCTTGCACCTCGCAGCCTGCACAACCTACATCCCGCCAATCCTCTAGGCGTGAGGTTCTAGCGAGCGCGCCCAGCTAACGCCATCATCCCTCTTCGGGGAGGGTGCTCCCCCTCCCCCATACCCCCTCCTCTTGGGTCTGGACGGGGCGCTACGCTGGTCGTTGGAGCGTCTCAGATGGCCCCAGGTGGCTCCAAGATGGTCCCGGGGAGCCCAAAATGGCCTCCAGGATCGCGCAAGATATCCCCAGATGACTCAAGATAGCTTCCAACATGCTATGAAGAATCCTCAAGACCGTCCGAGGACCGTTCCAGTGAGGCCTCCAAGACGCCAACCCTCTCGCCTTTTCACTTCCGATGGGCTCCTGAGGCCTCAAGATAGCTCCACGATGACCCATGAGGTGCCCAAGAGAGGCTCAAGAGGGGCCCAAGACGGCCCCAAGAGCGCCCCTAGCCAAGAGGTTCCCAAGAGGCCTCTGTTCGGGTCGCACTCTCGGAGCGTCTTGGAAGCAAGTTGGGCCGCCGGAGGCGGCAAGTGAGCTGTCTGAAACGTCTCGAGGCCGTCCTGGGACGACCCGAGGCCGCCGTGGATCGTCTTGGCGGCTGCCCAATCGCCCTCGACGTCGAACTGAGGCTCCCGAAGCGTGCGCGGGACGCGCCAGACCTCCCATTTTGAGGTCCAGGTTCCTATATGTGTAGATGGCGGAGCAGGAACACGAAAAAGGTCGATGGGGGGGGGAAGAAGAGGCCCCAGAGAATTTCCAAAATGGCCTCCAGGATCGCTCAAGATATCCCGAGATGATTCAAGATAGCTTCCAACATGCTTTCACGAACCCTCAAGACCGCCCGAGGACGGCTCCAAGTGCCCTCCGACCTCCCCAACGAGGCCTCCAAGACGCCAAAAGCATTCAAACCCCTTATGTGTGTCATGATTGTTGCCCTCTCGCCTTTTCACTTCCGATGGGCTCCTGAGGCCTCAAGATGGCTCCAGACCTCCCAGTTTGAGGTCCAGGTTCCCATGTGTAAATGGGGAAGAAGAGGAACAGAAGAAAACGGGTAAATTCCACGTCGGAGCCGGTCCTGCGACAGCTCGCAGAAAGCGCCGTACGCCACGATCTGCGCCCAGCCAGCCGCGGGAACCTTGGAGATCGCACCGAGGCCGTTCGGGATGTCCGCGAACTTGAGCCCTGCGCTAGGCGACAGATAGCCCGGAAGCTTGCCAGTGATCTCTGGGGTGATGTAGCCCATGGTCGCCAGCATCGACACGCGGCCATGCTTCAGCTCGGTCTGGCGGCGGCGCGCGAAATTCGCCGTGCTTCCGTCCGCAGTGAACCCGGCGGGATCCCAGAAGCCAACCGGATCCTGCACGCCGAGCTCGCTCTCGAAGGCGCGCAGGGGGGAGCCCGTGTAGAGCGCCCAGTCACCCCACGCGCTGCCCGTCAAGCCGTCTTGGAAGAACATCCCAATGATGGCCATCATGGCAAGACGACCGTTCGCGATCTCGGCAGCAAGCTTCTTCTGCCTCTCTGCAGGGTCGCTGGAGGTCAGCAGCTTGAACCCGAACTCTCCGCGGGAGGCGGGAGAACCTTAGAGGAACAAAAAACAACATGAGCTCAAACGTTCGGAGTTCCGCGCGGATTTCGTGGATCGGCGCTGGAACCCCCTCCATGGCGCGCGGAGCGCGCCAGGGGCGGCGCCGAAGGCGCCGCCAGGAGGGCCCAGCGCCGATCAAAGACATCCGCGCGGATCTCCTAAAGGTTCTGTTCATGCACTTGTTTCTTCTTCGACGCCTGGGATCGTCTGGTCCTGCGAGATCTCTACGTACGCGCAGTACAGGAACATCTGCCCCCACCCCGCCAAGGGGACCTTAGAGAGCGCTCCGAGCCCATTCGGGATGTCCGCGTACTTCAGGCCAGTGCTCGGAGAGAGGTAGCCCGGGAAAGGTCCTGAGAGCCAACGACAGGAAAGACTGGCTCAGCAGTGGGGGGGGCATCGACCTGGGATCGGCGATACATCACCGATAGATCGGCGACAGGCCCCCGATAGCCAATCCGCACGTTCCGGGGCGGGGCGGGTCATCGGGCCACTATCGCCGACAAATTAGCGAGTGAGACCGATGCTTCCCCCCACGAGCCCGTCCCCCGCCTCAACGTTGACCCTGAGGTCCGATCAGCTGGGGGGTGATGTAGCCCATGGCCGCCAGCATCGCGACGCGGCCGTGCTTGATCTCGGTGGCGCGCCTGCGGGCGAAGTCCGCCGCGCTGCCGTCGGCGGTGAACCCCGCCGGGTCCCAGAAGCCGGCGGGGGGCTGCACGCCCAACTCGTTCTCGAAGGCGCGCAGCGGAGAGCCCGTGTAGAGCGCCCAGTCGCCCCACGCAGAGCCGGTCAGGCCGTCCTGGAAAAACATGCCGATGATCGCCATCATGGCCAGGCGTCCGTTGGCGATCTCCGCCGCAAGCTTCTTCTGCTTCTCCGCGGGGTCGGTGGACGTCAGCACCTTGAAGCCGAAGTCACCCGCCGCGGCAGCGGTGCCAGCGGACTGGTCCTGGAGGCTCGGAGGTGGAAGGTCTCCCACGGAAAATCAGGCGAAAGAGGATGACGAAACGAGGCCGATGCTCAGCAAAGGCGATGGCAATGACGATGCTGATTCAAACGGGCTCAGCGCGTGCGTCTGCTTCTCGACCTCAGCCTCACACGTCTCCCCTTCCCCTCTTTCCCCCACCTGAGAGGTAGAGGGAGAAAGGGTGAGAGAGGGGGGGAGAGAGAGAGAGAGAACAACGAAACAAGAGAGAGAGAGAGAGAAACGCCTAGGACTAGGAGTGAAGTACCGGTGTACGAAAACTCGCGGAGTAGAGTAGGACTCGAGCACATTGAAAGTAGGATGGAGCTCATACGAGCCAAGCAGAAGCCAAGAGGATGTTGAGCAGTAGCTCAGATTGCGAATGAGGTGCACGTGTGAGTTGTGCAGCACAAAATGAATGTTCCCAGCCCTTCACGATCCCTACCTTTCTCCGAACATGAGCCTATCACACGCTTTGCTCTCGCTGTCCCCCTATACATACGCATACTCTTAGTTTCACCTACACCCCGCTCGCTTCCTGCTCCCACCAAATCGCATGCACGCATACGGAAAATCCTAATCGCTTCCTGCTCCTAGTTCGAATTCTACCTTCACGACTCCTACTCAGATCCCTGCTCATATTCAAACTCCTCTGGGTCATATGCAAACTCCTGCTCATTGGTAGAGTCTTGATCCCGCTTCGACACCTTTACCCTGTGTCTACCCTTAGCCAGACCCAGATCATTCCAACTCCTGCCTGTAACTCTTGGCCTCACTCCCACTTGAAGAGAAAGTTGACTGGCTTGAACACAAATAGCTCAACACCTACAGCTCTCAAGAATGCGGAGGGGCTTAACGAACACGATTTGCCCATGTAGGTTCTGTCGTACTGGGCTACGGCAAAATGGGTTAAAGTCGTGGCAGTGCATGGCTATACTGAGAGGGGGCAACACAACATATGATCGTGAGAACGGTAGTACCACGAGGGGGATCGGTAGGAGCTGGCAGGGCGCAACACGATTAGAAAAAGAACCTGTACAAACATGCGCATAATGTGCACCACATAGCTTACACAGCATAGCTATACCACGTTGAGTGCATTGCACAGCTTGCACCACATAGCTTGCATCACATAGCCTGCACCCCTTAGCTTGCACAAAGTTGCTTACACAACCTAGATGGCAACACACAGCTTACACCACATAACTTCAACCGCACATGTTGCACCACTTAGCTTACACCACCAAGCTTGCACCACCTAGTTTGCAAAACATACAGTTATCACATAGGCTGCCACCGCGTGGCGTACAGAAACATATGTGTCCACAATCCTCTAGGCGTGAGGTTCTAGCGCGCGCGCCCAGCTAACGCCATCATCCCTCTTCGGGGAGGGTGCTCCCCCTCCCCAATACCCCCTCCTCTTGGGTCTGGACGGGGCGCTACGCTGGTCGTTGGAGCGTCTCATATGGCCCCAGATGGCTGCAAGAGGGTCCCGGAGAGCCCAAAATGGCCTCCAGGATCGCGCAAGATATCCCCAGATGATTCAAGATAGCTTCCAACATGCTATGAAGAATCCTCAAAACCGTCCGAGGACCGCTCCAGTGAGGCCTCCAAGACGCCAACCCTCTCACCTTTTCACTTCCGATGGGCTCCAGGATCGCTCAAGATATCCCAAGATGATTCAAGATAGCTTCCAACATGCTTTCAAGAACCCTCAAGACCGCCCGAGGACGGCTCCAAGTGCCCTCCGACCTCCCCAACGAGGCCTCCAAGACGCCAAAAGCATTCAAACCCCTTATGTGTGTCATGATTGTTGCCCTCTCGCCTTTTCACTTCCGATGGGCTCCTGAGGCCTCAAGATGGCTCCAGACCTCCCATTTGGAGGTCCAGGTTCCCATATGTGTAAATGGGGAGAGGGACAGAAGAAAACGGGTAAATTCCACGTCGGAGCCGGTCCTGCGACAGCTCGCAGAAAGCGCCGTACGCCACGATCTGCGCCCAGCCAGCCGCGGGAACCTTGGAGATCGCACCGAGGCCGTTCGGGATGTCCGCGAACTTGAGCCCTGCGCTAGGCGACAGATAGCCCGGAAGCTTGCCAGTGATCTCTGGGGTGATGTAGCCCATGGTCGCCAGCATCGACACGCGGCCATGCTTCAGCTCGGTCTGGCGGCGGCGCGCGAAATTCGCCGTGCTTCCGTCCGCAGTGAACCCGGCGGGATCCCAGAAGCCAACCGGATCCTGCACGCCGAGCTCGCTCTCGAAGGCGCGCAGGGGGGAGCCCGTGTAGAGCGCCCAGTCACCCCACGCGCTGCCCGTCAAGCCGTCTTGGAAGAACATCCCAATGATGGCCATCATGGCAAGACGACCGTTCGCGATCTCGGCAGCAAGCTTCTTCTGCCTCTCTGCAGGGTCGCTGGAGGTCAGCAGCTTGAACCCGAACTCTCCGCGGGAGGCGGGAGAACCTTAGAGGAACAAAAAACAACATGAGCTCAAACGTTCGGAGTTCCGCGCGGATTTCGTGGGTCGGCGCTGGAACCCCCTCCATGGCGCGCGGAGCGCGCCAGGGGCGGCGCCGAAGGCGCCGCCAGGAGGGCCCAGCGCCGATCAAAGACATCCGCGCGGATCTCCTAAAGGTTCTGTTCATGCACTTGTTTCTTCTTCGACGCCTGGGATCGTCTGGTCCTGCGAGATCTCTACGTACGCGCAGTACAGGAACATCTGCCCCCACCCCGCCAAGGGGACCTTAGAGAGCGCTCCGAGCCCATTCGGGATGTCCGCGTACTTCAGGCCAGTGCTCGGAGAGAGGTAGCCCGGGAAAGGTCCTGAGAGCCAACGACAGGAAAGACTGGCTCAGCAGTGGGGGGGGCATCGACCTGGGATCGGCGATACATCACCGATAGATCGGCGACAGGCCCCCGATAGCCAATCCGCACGTTCCGGGGCGGGGCGGGTCATCGGGCCACTATCGCCGACAAATTAGCGAGTGAGACCGATGCTTCCCCCCACGAGCCCGTCCCCCGCCTCAACGATGACCCTGAGGTCCGATCAGCTGGGGGGTGATGTAGCCCATGGCCGCCAGCATCGCGACGCGGCCGTGCTTGATCTCGGTGGCGCGCCTGCGGGCGAAGTCCGCCGCGCTGCCGTCGGCGGTGAACCCCGCCGGGTCCCAGAAGCCGGCGGGGGGCTGCACGCCCAACTCGTTCTCGAAGGCGCGCAGCGGAGAGCCCGTGTAGAGCGCCCAGTCGCCCCACGCAGAGCCGGTCAGGCCGTCCTGGAAAAACATGCCGATGATCGCCATCATGGCCAGGCGGCCGTTGGCGATCTCCGCCGCAAGCTTCTTCTGCTTCTCCGCGGGGTCGGTGGACGTCAGCACCTTGAAGCCGAAGTCACCCGCCGCGGCAGCGGTGCCAGCGGACTGGTCCTGGAGGCTCGGAGGTGGGAGGTCTCCCACGAAAAATCAGGCGAAAGAGGATGACGAAACGAGGCCGATGCTCAGCAAAGGCGATGGCAATGACGATGCTGATTCAAACGACTAGGACTAGGAGTGGAGTACTGGTGTACGAAAACTCGCGGAGTAGAGTAGGACTTGAGCACATCGGAAGTAGGATGGGGCTCATACGAGCCAAGCAGAAGCCAAGAGGATGTTGAGCAGTAGCTTAGATTGCGAATCAGGTGCACGTGTGAGTTGTGCAGCACAAAATGAATATGCCTAGCCCTTCACGATCCCTACCTTTCTCCGAACATGCGCCTATCACACGCTCTGCTCTCGCTGTGTCCCCCTAGACATACGCACACTCGTAGTTTCACCTACACCCCGCTTCCTGCTCCCACCAAATCGCATGCACGCAAGCAAATAATCATGGTCACTCCCTGCTCCGAATTCAAATTCTACCTTTACGGCTCCTACTCAGATCCCTGCTCATATTCAAACTCCTCCGGGTTATATGCAAACTCCTGCTCATTAGTAGAGTCTGGCTCCTGCTTCGACTCCTTTACCCTGTGTCTACCCTTCGCAAGACCTATATCATTCCAACTCCTGCCTCGAACTCTTGGCCCCACTCCCACTTGAATAAAAAGTTGACTGGCTTGAACACAAACAGTTCAAGACCTGGAGCTCTCAAGAATGCGGAGGGGCTTAACGAACACGATTTGCACATGTAGGTTCTGTCGTACTGGGCTACGGCTAAATGGGTTCAAGTCGTGGCAGTGCATGGCTATACTGAGAGGGGGCAAGTCAACTTATGATCGGAAGAACGGCAGTACCACGAGGGGGATCGGTAGGAGCTGACAGGGCGCAACACGATTAGAAAAAGAACCTGTACAAACATGCGCACAATGTGCACAACATAGCTTACACAGCATAGCTGTACCACTTTGAGTGCATCGCACAGCTTGCACCACATAGTTTGCATCACATAGTCGCACCCCGTAGCTTGCACAACATTGCTTACACCACCTAGATGGCACCACATAATGTACACCACATAGCTTCAACCGCACATGTTGCACCACCTAGCTTACTCCACCAAGCTTGCACCATCTAGTTTGCAAAACATATAATTATCACGTAGGCTGCCACCGCGTGGCGTACAGAAACACATGTGACCACATAGCTTGCACCACACATTGGACACCATCTTGGTAACACAACATCGCTTGAACCCCCTAGCTTGCACCACATAGCTTACACCACAACGTCTACACCACGTCACTTACAGTACTTAGCTTGCATCACGTAGCGTACACTACATAGTTTGCACCTCGCAGCCTGCACAACCTACATCCCGCCAGCCCTCTGGGCGTGAAGTTCTAGCGAGCGCGCCCAGCTAACGCCATCGTTCCTCTTCGGGGAGGGTGCTCCCCCTCCCCCATACCCCCTCCTCTTGGGTCTGGACGGGGCGCTACGCCGGTCGCTGGAGCGTCTCAGATGGCCCCAGGTGGCTCCAGGAGGGCCCCAGCGAGCCCAAAATGGCCTCCAGGATCGCTCAAGATATCCCAGGATGATTCAAGATAGCTTCCAACATGCTTTCAAGAACCCTCAAGACCGCCCGAGGACGGCTCGAAGTGCCCTCCGACCTCCCCAGGGAGGCCTCCAAGACGCCAAAAGCATTCAAACCCCTTGTGTGTGTGTGTCATGTCATGATTGTTGCCCTCTCGCCTTTTCACTTCCGATGGGCTCCTGAGGCCTCAAGGTGGCTCCAAGATGACCCATGAGGTGCCCAAGAGTGGCTCAAAAGGGGCCCCAGGACGGCCCCAAGAGCGCCCCAAGCCAAGAGGGCCCCAAGAGGCCATTGTTCGGGACCAGGCGGGGGGGGGAGCGTAATGAACGCCGCATCCGTTCTTCCCAACCCTCCCTGAATAGCGCACCGCTCGCGCAATCTCCCCGTCGCCCTCCTCCGCCTACCTCCTCCTGCATCCTGTGCGTCCTCTCGGGGGCCGCGCGCTGCACCACTGTCGCCACTTGCGTGGACTCGGCTCTTGAGAGGCCCGGCGGAGGCGAGGGAACGAGGATCCCTTTGAGACCTCGCGGCCCTCCCGGGGGCTGCCAACTGCGCAGCTGACGCCACTTCCGTTGGCTCCTGGAGGCAAGGCGGTGGTGAGGGCCACGCAGATCATGTCGCCCCCCGTAAGGGCTGCGAATTGCGCACCTGTCGCCATGTTCGTGAGCTTCTGGGAGGCACGGCGGAGGTGAGGGCCACGCGGATCACTTCGAAACATCGCGGCTCCCCGGGCGGCTGCGAGCTGCGCAACTGACAGCACTGCCGCGGGCGCCTAGGAAGAACGGCGGAGGCGAGGGCAGCGCGAAAAACTTCGGGGCCTCGCGGCTCCCTCGGGGGCTGCGAACTGCGCAACAGTCGCGACTTTCGTGAGCTCTTGGGAGGCACGGCGGAGGTGAGGGCGAGGCAGACCACTTCGAGACCTCGCGGCTTCCTTGTGGGCTGCGAACTGCGCAACTGCAACTGGGCTCCTGGGAGACACGGCCGAGGCGAGGACGGCGCGGATCACTTCGAGGCCTCGCGGCTCCATCGGGGGCTGCGAACTGCCCAACAGCCGCCACTTTCGTTCGCTCCTGAGAGGCACGGCAGAGGTAAGGGCACACAGCTTGCACAGGATATCTTGCACATACCCTACACCACATAGCTTGCACCAGTAAACTTGCACCACATACCTTGCGCCACATACCTTGCGCCACATAGCTTGCTCCACCTAGTTTCCGCCAAAACGTTCGCACCACATAGATTACACCACACATATGTATTCAAGATAAGACAAGCTCGACCACCCTTCCGAGCCCGGACTTCTCAGACCCCTGTGGGACATTGCAATGTACATGATATTATGCCCCTTCTCTTTTTTCCTGTAAGAAAGCATTCCATCCCAGCCAAGCCAGTATTGACCCCACGCTGGTCCTTGCCTCATAACACCATGCGCGCACACTTGCTTATCTCAAGAATCCGTTTCATCCCCCTGGCATGCATAAACAAAGTCCATACGCGCGAGAAAGTGATGCAAGCATTTCAACACGAAAACCTTTGAAACCCATGTGCGCGTCGTCGCAGAGATTGCAGACGCTCTGCCCGCTAGCACTTACTGAACACATCCAGAAGCCATGTAAGTTTAGCGATCTCGCCCGAAACCCACATTATCATTTCACCACGTGGTACATCCGCGTTGATCTAGCATGCACACAGCGCGTCCGTATCAATAGCACCATGCAAGCCACGTGCGCGCGCCGCGACGAGGGCGTGCCGAAATCCGCCGACCCTGTGTGGGTCTCTAGGCGGTGAAATTCTTCCCCCCCAAAGGCCCCCACCCGGGGCCCCGAAACCGGAAACTCTACCCCCCCCCCCCATCGCCCCGGGTAACCCCCCCTCGAACGCATCATGGGGAGATAGAAAGTCCCCGAACGAGTCCCAAGAGCCCCGAGACGCACCCAAGACGGTCCAAGAAAGTTCCGTCTCGCTGGAAGATCCTTCCAAGACGACCAAGATGGCTTCCAGACGGCCCAAAAGGCTTCCAAGAGGGCCCAGGAGACCCCCAAGAGCACTCCCGAGATGGCCCTAGGAGGGAAAAGCTGGCACTTCCCTAAAGAAACCGTATAGCTTCCGCACAGTCATCCTTTCGGCTTGCACGGCGTTCAAGACCGGCCCACGCAGCCTCAAGGCCGCCCCAAACGGCCCAGGAGGCCCCCAAGAGAGCACCAAGACAGCCCATAAGGGCCCCAAGAAGGGCTCAAGACGGCGAAAGAGAACCCCAAAACGGCCCCCAAAAAGGCCCAAGAGCAAAAGCCCGGACCCACAATCCGGGCCTTCCGCCCCAAGATGCACCCAGGAGGCCTGAAGAGGCCGCGAAGAAGCCCTCCAAAAACCTCAAGACGCGCCCAGAGGTCCCAAGACAGGCCCGAAGAAGCTTCAAAGCTGCTTCCAAGAGGCACCCGAGAAACCTCGCCAAACTGAACTCAAGAAATGGTCGGGATTTCCAGGGACCGCGCATTGCAAAAAAACAAGACATAGGATCTCTGCGTCCACGAGCCTCCACGAGCCTCCATCCTTACTATGCGGGTTGACTGAATCCTGGGACGTCTTAGAACTCTCTTAGGCCCTCTTGGGACCCTCTGGGGGTCTCTTGGGCCGTCTTGGGGCGACGTTTGGCGCCTACTGAGCCGTCTTGCAGCGTCGGAAGCCCGGAAAAGCGGGAAAAGCGCAAACCTTAAACACTTTGGAAAATGAATGGGAGAGTCCTCTTGAAGCCTTCTTCGGCCATCCTGGGGCTCTTCTGGGCCGTCTTGAGGTGCTTTGGCCGTCTTGGGGCTGTCTTTGGGACCTCTTGGGGCGCTCTTGGGTATCTTGGGCCCTCCTGGGGCCCTCCCGAGACATCTTGGGGCTTTCTTGGGCCGTTTTGGGACTCTCTTAGACTGTATGTGGACTCCCTTGAGCCTTCGTGGGGCTTTCATGGATGCCTCTTGGGGCGTCTTGGGGCGGCTTGTGGCACACCTCTGGAGCCGCCTTGGGCCGACGGAAGCCCGAAAAGGCGAGAACCCTACAAACCTTCAAAAACTAAGGGACATTCTGATTCCGGGCTTCCGGGGCCGCCTTGCAGGCCTCCTGGAGCACTCTCGGAGCGTCTTGGAGGCAATTGGGGCCGCTGGAGGCGCCGAGAGAGCTGTCCGAAACGCCTGGAGGCCGCCCAGGGACGGCTCGAGGCCGCCGTGGAGCGTCTTGATGGCCGTCTGATTGCCCTCGGCGGCGAGCTCAGACTCCCGAAGTGTGCGCGGGGCGCCCCAGACCTCCAGCAGATGGGCGGTCCATTCGAACCCGTACACGTTCGAGGGAGACTCTGAATCACCCCCGCGCCCCCGACATCAGTGTTGATCTCAGTAAAGGCGGTGCTTTGGGGTTCGAATATTTCTGTCCGCGGGGCATCTTGGGCCACAGGGTTCGAATATGATGTCCATGTACGGTCCCACTTGCGGTCCAGGTTTCGGCCAAGGGGCCCCCAGACCCAGTCCCCCGCTGCATGTATAGATGGTCTGTGTCTAAGGACTGCTGGAGGTGGAGCGGGCAGAGGAGGACCGTGAGGAGGAGCGGAAGAACGAGGAAGATGGATGGGGGAAAAAAGAACAGAAAAGAACGGGTAAATTCCACGTCGGAGCCGGTCCTGCGACAGCTCGCAGAACGCGCCGTACGCCACGATCTGCGCCCAGCCAGCCGCGGGAACCTTGGAGATCGCACCGAGGCCGTTCGGGATGTCCGCGAACTTGAGCCCTGCGCTAGGCGACAGATAGCCAGGAAGCTTGCCAGTGATCTCCGGGGTGATGTAGCCCATGGTCGCCAGCATCGACACGCGGCCATGCTTCAGCTCGGTCTGGCGGCGGCGGGCGAAATTCTCCGTGCTACCATCCGCTGTGAATCCGGCGGGATCCCAGAAGCCAACCGGATCCTGCACGCCGAGCTCGCTCTCGAAGGCGGCCGGGGGCACCCACATCTCGATACCCGTGCCTCCCGCGACACCCTCTTGGAGGACCATGCCGGTAATGGCTACCATGGCCAGGCGCCCGTTCGCGATTTCAGCGTTCAAGGAGCGCTGCTTCTTCTCCGGATCCATCACGGGCCCGAACATGCCCAGGAAGCCTTTGCCGTAGTCGCCAGCGGGACCGCTCTTCCACTCCTCGATGCCCCTGTCGCCCCCGAGCCCGAACTCGATCAGCGCCGCAAACAGAAAGATCTGCAAAAGCCCGCCGCTGGGGATCTTAGTGACCGCCTGCACTCCCATGGGAATGTCCGCGAAGTGGATGCCTTTGGAGGGGGACAAGTCGCCAGGCAGCGTGCCGTAGAAGGGGGCGATGTAACCGATGGTGGCCATCATGGACAAACGACCGTGCTTTATCTCGCAAGAGCGCAGCCGCTTGAACTCCTGCTCGGTGATGCCGTCGCAGAAGCCAGCGGGGTCCCAGAAACCGGTGGGCGCCTGCACGCCCAGCTCACCCGTGGCGCTCCACCTCTTCGGCGCCTCCACCCCGTCTGGCAGCGTGAAGCGAGCCTTGCCAGACTCATAGTTGACCACCCCTGCGCGCAGCGGAGAGCCCGTGTAGAGCGCCCAGTCGCCCCAGGCAGAGCCGGTCAAGCCGTCCTGGAAAAACATTCCGATGATTGCCATCATGGCCAGCCGACCGTTGGCGATCTCCGCCGCCAACTTCTTCTGCTTCTCCCCGGCGTCGCTGGACGTTAACACCTTGAAGCCGAAGTCACCCGCCGCGGCGGCGGTGCCAGCGGACTGGTCCTGGGAGAGCTCGCAGAAAGCGCCGTACGCAACAATCTGCGCCCAGCCCGCCGCGGGAACCTTGGAGATCGCACCGAGGCCGTTCGGGATGTCCGCGAACTTGAGCCCTGCGCTAGGCGACAGATAGCCAGGAAGCTTGCCAGTGATCTCCGGGGTGATGTAGCCCATGGTCGCCAGCATCGACACGCGGCCATGCTTCAGCTCGGTCTGGCGGCGGCGGGCGAAATTCTCCGTGCTACCATCCGCTGTGAATCCGGCGGGATCCCAGAAGCCAACCGGATCCTGCACGCCGAGCTCGCTCTCGAAGGCGGCCGGGGGCACCCACATCTCGATACCCGTGCCTCCCGCGACACCCTCTTGGAGGACCATGCCGGTAATGGCTACCATGGCCAGGCGCCCGTTCGCGATTTCAGCGTTCAAGGAGCGCTGCTTCTTCTCCGGATCCATCACGGGCCCGAACATGCCCAGGAAGCCTTTGCCGTAGTCGCCAGCGGGACCGCTCTTCCACTCCTCGATGCCCCTGTCGCCCCCGAGCCCGAACTCGATCAGCGCCGCAAACAGAAAGATCTGCAAAAGCCCGCCGCTGGGGATCTTAGTGACCGCCTGCACTCCCATGGGAATGTCCGCGAAGTGGATGCCTTTGGAGGGGGACAAGTCGCCAGGCAGCGTGCCGTAGAAGGGGGCGATGTAACCGATGGTGGCCATCATGGACAAACGACCGTGCTTTATCTCGCAAGAGCGCAGCCGCTTGAACTCCTGCTCGGTGATGCCGTCGCAGAAGCCAGCGGGGTCCCAGAAACCGGTGGGCGCCTGCACGCCCAGCTCACCCGTGGCGCTCCACCTCTTCGGCGCCTCCACCCCGTCTGGCAGCGTGAAGCGAGCCTTGCCAGACTCATAGTTGACCACCCCTGCGCGCAGCGGAGAGCCCGTGTAGAGCGCCCAGTCGCCCCAGGCAGAGCCGGTCAAGCCGTCCTGGAAAAACATTCCGATGATTGCCATCATGGCCAGCCGACCGTTGGCGATCTCCGCCGCCAACTTCTTCTGCTTCTCCCCGGCGTCGCTGGACGTTAACACCTTGAAGCCGAAGTCACCCGCCGCGGCGGCGGTGCCAGCGGACTGGTCCTGGGAGAGCTCGCAGAAAGCGCCGTACGCAACAATCTGCGCCCAGCCCGCCGCGGGAACCTTGGAGATCGCACCGAGGCCGTTCGGGACGTCCTTTGGTGCGAACAAAACAGATAGCTTGGGTTGGAGGGCAAAGCTTCTAAGGATGCCTGGGTGTTTGGGGGAAATAGGCTCATTTCTCAAACATGTCAGAGCGCTTAGAACAATGGACGAACTAACTGCGCATAAGAGTTTGGTAGCTGGCTGCTTGAACATAACTGATGAAAGGGCCGCTACTAATTGCGACCACTATCACCAGCATGGGCATCATCGCCATGCCTACACCACCCATAGCAACCATCGCAACTACGCGCAGATTGACCGCACAGCAATCAGCATAGCTACCGTAACAGTCACAAGCACATACCATACTCACAACACGCAGCATCACGTCTCATTCGTTTCCAACCAACTCCTTACCAACGCTTCACTAGCGTCCCACCACCACCAACCCCGTCAGGGGAACTTACGACTGACCTGCCCTGCTGCATGAATCCGCCACTCGCCACGTTGGAGCGTTCTACTGCTTGTCAGGTTTCCGGTTGGGCTTCTGAATTTCTTCAGGGCCGACCTCCCCTCCCCGCGAACGTTCTTAAAAGTTCTTCCCTGGATCGTTTGCTCCCAAGCGTTCGGTGGCAACTCATGGGAGCCTCCCATACCGTCTTGTTGCGAATCGACGCTAGTCGATGCTACATCGACGCCAATCGACGCTAATCGACGCTACATCGGCGCTATCTCGTCCATTCCCAGACGCTAATCGACGCTAGAGACAAACTTAAGAGGGTATACCAGGCTCCCATGATTTGCCACCGAGCAAGCGCCCTTGGTGCCTCCAGACACCTCCAAGACAACCAAAGACCGCCCTAAAAGCGACTGAAAGGCGCCCTGAAACAGTCCAGAGACGGCCCCAAACGTCCCTCCAGAGGCGCCAGGACGCCCAAAGAGAGGCAAGGAGAGGTCTCCGAAGACGGGAGGCGCGAGAGGCGGGAGGAAGAGAGGAAGCAAGGAGCAGCAGGCGCTCAGTCCAGAACGCGGGACCGACGCAGGGGTCCAGGAATAAGTCAGGGACGGGAATAGAAGAAGAAAAACGACATAAATATTAAGTCGGGCCTGTCCCCTACAGGGGGATTTTGGACGAAAAACAAAAAAAATCTAAGAAGACCCTAGAATACTCAAAATGGTCGAAACATCCTCCCCTGACTATTTTTTAAACTATTTTTGGATACTATTCCTGTAGAGGGACAGGCCCGACTTAACATAAGCATAAACCTGTTGGCGCTCCGCGCGGACTTCTTGGATCTGCGTTAGGGGCGGTGCCGGAGGCGCCGCCAGGGGGGGGCCCAGCGCGGATCCAAGAGATTCGCGCGGAGCGCCAACAGTTTGTGCTTGTGGTGTATGTCTTCTTCGAAGGAAGCTGGCCCACAGGAGAGGTCAGGTCCTGTTTTAAGTCGGGCCTGTCCCCCTAAAGGGGGATTTTCGACGAACCCAAAAATAGTCCAAAAATAATCAAAAATAGTCTGGGGACGATTTTTCGATTATGTTTTGACCTTTTTGGTGTATTTCTGGGGTACTCTTTTTTTTTTCGCCGAAGATCCCCCTGTAGGGGGACACGCCCGACATGAGTCCTGTCGGGCGAGCCCGCGTCCGCCCGCAAAGGGGGCCACTTGCGAACCCTACCCCTGCCCCCCACGATTTCTGAGGGGGAGGGCGGGGTTCACTTAATTCAGGAGCTCACGAACGAAGTGAAACCCACCCTCCCCCTCAGAAATCGTGGGGGGTAGGGGTAGGGTTCGCAAGTGGCCCCCTGCACAGGAGAGGCCAGGTCCTGTTGCGCGGGCCCGTGCCCGGCCCGCACTCCGCGGGTCCCCCCCCCAAGGCACCGCAGGCGAGCGGCGCGCAGCGTGCCGCTTCTTTTGCCGGGCCACCGCTGCGGCCGAGGCAGAAGCCCCAGGGCGTGCCACACGGCAGGCTCGAGCCGTGAGCGCAGCGACGACCTCCTCCTCCTCCTCCGCCTCCTCCTCCTCCTCCTCCTCCTCCTCCTCCTCCTCCTCCTCCTCCTCCTCCCCCTCCTCATCCTCCCCCTCCTCCTCCTCCTCCTCCTCCTCCTCCCCTCCTCCTCCTCCTCCTCCTCCTCCCCCCCCTCCTCCTCCTCCTCCTCCTCCTCCTCCTCCTCCTCCTGGACCGCACCAGGTGCTCCAGCCGACCGGTCGGTCTGCATGAAGCGGCACGCTGCGCAGGGTCTGGCAGGGGTCGTGCCTGCTCGGCCCGAGCAGTCCCCGCACCTGGCCTGGAGTGGCAGAACCTCGACGACACTGGCGACGCCTCTGTCCACTGCGAAGCTCACCCTGACAGCAACCGAACGATATGAACCACTGCAATGGTAATACCAAAAGTTCCTGCCGTGACGACGTCGGCCCGAATTTCCGATACCGCGTGGACCGTTGAATTTTGAATGATCTCCATCTTTGAAGGCCCCCACAAGCTCCCGTCCCCACCAGTCGTCTGGATCTCGCGTCGCGAATCGCTTTCTGCGGGCCCTGGGGGCCCAAACGGGCCGCGCCCAGATGGCGTTCAACCTTGAATGCCCGCGGCGGCGTCACCGCCATGTCGAAGCGGCACGAACCTGTGAAACTGAACACACGCATCGGCCGACGATCTGTAACTGGCCGAGGCCACGGCGCAAAGCCGACGCGGGGCACCGCTGCTCCACGCAAAGCGCCGTGGCTCCCTCGCCCAGGCCGTCGGCTGCCGACGATGGCGGCGTGATCGCCACGTCGAGGATTTGCACGCACGAAAATTGGGACTGCAAAAACGGGGGTGGTGTCCAACTGCAGCCGTTGCCTCAAAGCGACGTCGCCCGCAGTCGGGTGGGCGCTTCCCGCCCGCACAGTCGATTTCGATTGGGTACGACACGCGAGAGGACACGAGACCTGAGGGCCACGTTGCCACAGGAATGTAGACGACATGGGTCGCGACACAGAGGACGCTAGGGCACCCTTGATTTCGAAGGGCCGACCTACAAAATCAAACTCGACTGTAAGCCGACGACGTTCGCGGCGAGACCAGCAACGACTCCTGCTCAAGATGGGCAGGAAATGGCATTGGCCCTCGCACCCGTTATCCCCGTCCCCGTTTCGGCCCTCCGGAGAGGAAGCCAGCAGCGCGCACGCGAGGCATATCCATCGCGGGGAGGACAGCGGGAGACGCAGCCCTCCGCTTCGGCTCCTGGCTCCGGTCGGCCGGCAGGCGAGACAGGGGAACTGCGGTGCCCTCGGCGGCGGCAACACCGCACCCAGAGGCGCGGGAAGAACAGTCGGGGATGGACAGACCCCCCTTTATGAGTATCGTTTAACCGATCCCCATCCCCAGCGGCTTGGCCTGGCCCACACTGACCGGTTTACTCCCCTAGATGGGGATATAGGCCGTTCCCTTCGGGTTTCGAGGGATATATCCCCAACTGGGGTGGTGATTTGGTGGGGGTCTCGAAGGGGATGGGGATTGGGATGGGGATTGGTTAAACGATATCGACTTTAGTAAAACGTGGTTTAGAGAAAACGACCTCGGGCCCAAACCTGGCGGGCGCAAGCCTGGAAGACGACGGCCGCGGCGCGCCCTCTGGAGGACCGAACGCGGACAATGCAATGATCGGCGTGTCGGGGCAGAAGGTCCGCCACACCCCCGCAAAAGAGAGCGCCAGCTTTCTCTGAAGGGGCCCTGGGACACACAAACAAATACACCCTGCGAAATGCTTAAGAAATCATGGGTTAAGAAATTCATAGTCTCAGAACTGGAGTAAGAGCCCAGAATTTCCATCGAAGTCGTAGGATTTACATGAAAACATTAAGAATAATCGAGACTCTGGACGAAAACTTGGGTTTTCTTAAGCATCGCCCAAGGTGTACCCACAAATAAAAGGATTCCACATATTTCCCCATATTCTCTGGGTCACTGTCTTCCCCCCCCACCTCCCATACTTTCCCAAGATTTTCTGGGGGATCGACGACTCGTTGTGTCTGTGTGTTCTTGTTTTCCCCTCCTGAAGAAAGTCTGTCCACCTCCGAAAGAGAGAGCGCCAGCCTTCTCTGCCGAGGCACTCGCGCGGTAAAACCACCACGCCCCCGGGGGGGGAAAGGGGCCGCGGCCTCGGCCTCCAGCGGCCCTCTCACAGAGGGCCACCGGAGGCTGTGAAAAAAACGGCGCTACATGAAGAGCTACTCCACTGGAGGAGGAGGAGGAGGAGGAGGAGGAGGAGGAGGAGGAGGAGGGGGAGGAGGGGGAGCTGTGCTCCCCACAGCCGAAAAACAGCCACGAGCTACCCCATGGGGGGGGGGAGCGGGGAGGGTCGGGTCGGGCGAAAGGGGGGGATAGCAGAGGGGGGGTTTGAGAATCAGCTCGCGTAGCTGATTTTCCTGGCGCCTCCCAGCGCCGGGAGGCGCCCGTGTATCGAGGAATGGACCCCTCGATGGGGCCGAAACCGGCTTCATGCAGCAGATTTCGCAACCCCCCCTTACCAATCCCCCCTTTCGTCCGGCCCGAGAGAAGCATCGAGACCTACAGGGCTCCACGCCGCGAAGAACACAAAAGGCCTCGGGGGCATGGGTCGGTACAAGCCTTCGCTGGCGACAGGCCCGCCCCCAGAGGCGCCACAAGAAGCGGTGGCGGCTCGGTCGCAACGGTCCTCGTCGGCGGCAAATCCGCCCTCGGAGGCACCCCATTCGGCCATCGCGTTCTCCCATCAATCCCGTAGGTGTTTTTACGAAAGATGCTAAGTATTCCAACCCACGTCTGCCCTTTCGGGCCAGGTTTGATCACTGCCCCTTGCTAATTACATATGAATATGTATACATATATACATATGTATTTATGAAGGGAGAGAGAGAGAGAGAGAGAGAGAGACAGAGAGATATACATATGTATATATATATACATATACACATATCAACTCCACCCCACCGGCGACAAACCAGGACAAATGCCAACACCCCCGCCACCCCGATCAAAAAACAATACAAAATCTGGATCATGTCCAGGCGCCCCACGATTACTTTACCTTACTTTTGACGGGGGCGAGAGGAGGGGGGGCAGCATATGGCCCTACGTGTGCCCGATGGTTGTCGATGGCGGCCTCTGTCCCTGCTGAGACTCGGGTGCCAATTCTGTGCTGGAGTGGGTGGGAGTGAGCGAGACGGCTTGCGACCTGTGGGTAGCTGGACCACTGCTCCCTGTCAATGGACAGCCCCTTTCCCCACCCCACCGGCAGCCCACCTGGACCCATGACCCAGCGAGGCCTGGTCTGGATGCGCGCGGCCCCCAACCTCCGCCAGACCTCACAGGAGCCCACGAAAGTGGCGACAGCTGCGCAGTACACAGCCACCCAGGGAGCAGCGAGGTCCCGTCTGGATGCGCGTGGCCCCCGACTCCGCTGGACCTCCCCAGGAGCCCACGAAAGTGGCGACAGCTGCGCAGTTCACAACCACCCAGGGAGCAGCAAGGTCTCGTCTGGATGCGCGTGGCCCCCAACTCCGCTTGACCTCCCAGGAGCCCACGAAAGTGGCGACAGCTGCGCAGTTCACAGCCACCCAGGGAGCAGCGAGGTCCCGTCTGGATGCGCGTGGCCCCCAACTCCGCTGGAACTCCCAGGAGCCCACGAAAGTGGCGACAGCTGCGCAGTTCACAGCCACCCAGGGGAGCAGCGAGGTCTCGTCTGGATGCGCGTGGCCCCCGACTCCGCTGGACCTCCCAGGAGCCCATGAAAGTGGCGACAGCTGCGCAGTTCACAGCCACTCACGGGGCAGCGCAGGAGGAGGCAGACGACAGGAGGGAAGCACGGAGGATAAAGGAGGCGGGATACGTGGAGACCACAGCGCTCTAATCAAAGCAGGAGCCCAATACATGAGGGTTGGGAAAAAGGCTTCTGGCATGTCCCCGATGGGGGACCCATGATGGTCAAAACAAGCGTCCAAGAAGCTCACAGATCGAAAGTTCCGCGGGGGGCATTTGTGGTTGACTCATGGGTCTGGTCAGGCTGATCCCGCGTTTCGGTTTGACGACAGCCCCCCCTCTCTGCTCCACTGCTTAATCCTACACGTCCCTTGTCAAGGCAACTCGCCTGGGCATCGTTTCTGGATGGTTACCCGAAGCGTCAAGAATTCGAAACGATGTGGGCGACTTGATCGAAGAGCCGAGAGAAGCTGCAAGTCAATCGAGGTATTCACGAGGGAACTTCACCTCGGCCTCCCACTGCTTGAGGCGAAGATAGTCGCACACACAAAAAAGGATCGAAAACAGTAAATCCTACACCTTGCGAGGCTCTGAAGCACACGAGGCGTTTGGTACATGTTCCTGTGGCACTTGCAGCGGTGAAACAACGCGCTAGCGAGTGAGACAACGAGAGGGCTTGTTTTGCAAGGATTAGAGATCGGGTCGAAGACCTTCCGAATCAAGAAATAACTTGCTTCTGACCTGCTGAAAGATGTTGGCACGGCACCCTTACAGCGATCTTGCACGGTGGAGGCAACACTCTCACAGTAGCTCGAGGATGTGGGCACGCACTCACGAAAGAATGAGCGCGCGTATAACGGCCTCGCGCGGGGGGTGAGGTCGGAAAGCAGGCATCAGAGACGGGAGGACGAGGACAGGAATAGAGCGGCAGACAGAGCGAGAACATGTCCTCTCAAACACTCGGCCATGACCATCACGCTGTTAGCGGAGATGCTGCACTGCCGTGCCGAGCTTGCCAGACACAAGCGGCATTAAAGAAAAAAACGATGAAGAAGAAGATGAAGATAAAAAAACGCCATAAGCATTAGACTTTTGGCACTCCGCGCGGATTTCTCGGATCCGCGCTGGACCCCCCTGGCGGCGCCTCCAGCGGCGCCGTGGCGCGCTCCGCGCGCCAGGGAGGGGGGCCCAGCGCCAATCCGAGAAAGCCGCGCGGACCTCCGAGTGGTTATGTTTATGCCATTCTCCGCTCCCCTACATGACCAGCACACCGACGGCGGAGATGCTGCGCTCCCGTGCCGAGCTTGCCAGACGCAAGCGGCACTCCTGGAGCGGCCGCTACACTCTCCGACCCCGGGTCAATCAACAACCTCCCTGCAGAGCGGACAGCCACCGGAGCCGTGGAACGCCAACCACCGCACGATGCACCCGTGGTGGAACCCGTGGCCTGAGCATCGCTCAAGCGATCCATGACCCCACTGGCATGGCCTTGGCCCCGCTGACCGATTTACTGCAGGATCGTGTGGTGTCGACCCCGGCGTTGGTTCTGGACACCGCGGGGAGGGGTCGTTCAGCTTTGAACGATCGGACGTTTCCGAAACGTCCCATCGTTGAACATCGAACGAATCTGGGTCGCCGGCGGCGTTCAACGTTGAACGCCAGCGGCGGGGTCGCCGCTGGTCGACACGACACGAAAATACCGTACCCCTCTGGATGGGCATATAGGCCTTTCCCTTCGGGTTTCGAGGGGTATATCCCCAACCGGGGTGCTGAGATGTCGAGGCTCAGATGCCATGGCCTGGTGGGGATAGGGATAGATTCAACGGTACTGATGGCCGCAGGGCAGGCCCACGACCCGCTCCTCGCTCTCCACGTCCTCCATGCAGATGGCGCAGGAGTCCATCGAGATGTCGCCGGCCCGGACCGTGCGCTTCACGACGAGCGCGGTGGACCTGAGGCTCCGGTCCGTGACGCAGCACTGCGACAGGACAGCCATCGCCCCTGGCGCGGCGCGGCGGACGACCATCTCGACGGCCAGTGACTTGGCCATCTCCTCCAAAATCGCCCACGGCGCCGTGACGCCGTTCACGGAGACGATGCTGTCGCCAGGGGCCACGACCGCCGAGGGGTGCCGCTCGAGCCACTGGCTCATCGCACCTCCCTTGGCGATGAGCATGATCATCAGGCCGGCCTCCCTGCTGTCCTCCGCGTAGACCAGGCGCACGCCGTACGCGCCCGCCCCGTCTTTCTTCTCGAGCTTCAGCGTCGTCAGCTCCGGGTCCTCGCAGCAGCACGGGGTCCTCATCGCGTCGCCGTCCAGATCGCACTTGGCTGCCCCGTCAAGGCCGACAACTCCGACTTCCCCCGAGAGTCTCGGGCTCGTCGCGCTGTGAGCGGCGCCGCCGCGCCGGGAGAGGAGGTAGTCCACGAGCGCATCATCCCTCGGCGCTGGCTTGCGAGAACGGGCCACGACCGCCGTGCTGCTTTCCGCACAGCCCATCGCCCCGAGAGCCCTGACCGACCCCCTGGATCTGCGCAACCGTGCTCGACTACCTACCAGACCACCCCAACCCAACCCGAAGACCCGCATCTCGGGTTGGGGGGGGGGTGCGCGGGCTCCACATGTGTTTTTGCTCCATGTTCCCCGACCCCCCCCCCGTGGAAAGGACGGGCAAATTCGGGCCTCCGGGTTTAGAGGCCTCCTAGATGGGATTGGAGTAGATGGGGTCGGAGGATCGCGCCGCATCGCCGATACAATGGCGATGCATCGGCAATGCGCCAGCGATGCATCGTCGACGTCAGCGGCGCATCGGCGGCGTCGGCGCGAGGCAAATCGGGCCCCGCATCGGCGATGCATCGGCGATGCGGAGCGATCCTTCGACCCCATCTGCTCGGACCCCATCTAGGATCGGGGATGGACAGACCCCCCTTTAGTACAACGTGGTTTAGCGAAAACGCCCTCGGGCCCAAACCTGGCGGGCGCAAGCCTGGAAAATGACGGCCGCGGCGCCCTCTGGAGAACCGAAAACGGACAATTCGCTAATCGACGTGTCAGGGTAGGAGGTCTGTCCACCCCCGATAGGAGGCCTAGAGGGTTGGACCGCGGGGTGGTCCGGTGCGCGGTCCGTGCTGCAGCGCGGCGCTGGAGAAAAAAACGCAGCGCGCCCCTGTGAGCCAAAGTGGCTACACGGCGGCGGCCGCCGCACGCCTGGCGCAGCGCCGGGGGGAGTGAGGGCGGGGCGCCTCCGCGCGCGCCCGACCGTGGGCCCGACCGCCGGGGGGCCACGCGGCGGCGCGGGGGGCAGCGGCGGCAAAGGGCGTATGGCTCGGCAGGGCGAGGGCCCGGCTGTGGTCAGGAGGGAAAAAAACACACACACACACACACACACAGACACAATGAATCGTCGATTCCCCAGAGAATGTGGGAAAATATGGGAAGTGGGGGGGGAAGACACAGACCCCGAAAATAGGGGGAAAATAAGGGAAACCCTGTCATTTGTGTATATTTATTTGTGTGTCCCAGGGCGCCTTCACTTGGGCCCGCGCGTGTCCGCCACTGCGATGGCCCTCTCGAGCGTCGCACGCCAGGGGCGGCCCGCTCGCTCCGGAGCTCACCATCATCAACTCCTCTCATTCCTCCTCCTCCTCCTCCTCCTCCTCCTCCTCCTCCTCCTCCTCCTCCTCCTCCCCTCCTCCTCCTCCTCCTCCTCCTCCTCCTCCTCCTCCTCCTCCTCCTCCTCCTCCTCCTCCTCCTCCTCCTCCTCCTCCTCCTCCCCTGCCCCCCCCCCTCTCCTCCTCCTCCTCCTCCTCCTCCGGCGGCAAGGAGCTGCCCCACCGGGGGGCGCGGGGGCGTGCAGGTCTCGACGCCCCGGCGTCGTCCCGCGCCGGGGGGGGTCCGTCTCGTCCGTCTGGCGGGGGGCGCGGGGGGGGGCCTGTTTTGGTGAGCCGTCGTCTCTTCGCGTGGGGGGGTCCCTGAGAGCCTGGCGACTCCATTTTTGCTCGAGCTGGGCGTTCTCGCAATTTTCGGGCCCTGGGAGCCTCACAGATCGATCCGGCTCGGAGAGTGGCGTAGAAAGAGGGGGGCCTGGGGCTCCGGGCGCGGCTTCCCACGATGCTGCAATAGTTATTTCCGCCACGTCGGATCTCAGGGGTGGGGGAGCGAGTACACCATGCGAAATGCTTAAGAAATCATGGGTTAAGAAATTCATAGTCTCAGAAATTGAATAAAACCCAGAACTTCTGTCAAAATCTTGGGATTTACATTGAAAAAGTTAAGAATAATCGAGACTCTGGACGAAAACTTAGGTTTTCTTAAGCATCGCCTAAGGTGTACGCTCTTGATCGGCGGCGGCGGAGCGAACGTTGCCCTTCGGGGGCGAGCGCGGGAGCACACCGCGGCGAGCGAGTGGTGCGCAGCAGGCGGGCAGCACACGCTCGGCGGGCCCCCCCCGGGAGTGCGGGGCCCCGCCGGTGGCAGCTCTCCCGCCCTCGACCCGCGGAGGCGGCGGCGGCGCGGCGGCGCACGCGCGCGGCTGGAGGAGGAGGGCCTGCGGTGCCGCGCAGGGGCACGAGCTCGGCAGCCGCCCGGGAGGCAGGCGTCCCCGAGGGCGAGGAGGAGGAGGCGGAGGAGGAGGAGGAGGAGGAGGAGGAGGAGGAGGAGGAGGAGGAGGAGGGGGGGGGGAGCAGCAAGTCGAGCCAGGAGAGGCAGCAGCGGCAGAAGCACAGGCGTCTGGCGCTCCGCGCGGGCTTCTCGGGTCTGCGCGGGGCCCGCCCCCCTCCCTGGCGCGCGGGGCGCGCCGGGAGCGGCGCCGGGAGCGGCGCCGAAGGCGGGGCCTGGCACGGATGCAGGAAATCAACGCGGAGCGCCGAAAGTTTATGTTTATGACTTTCTTTCTTCGAGGGGCACCATACACTAGGGGCCCGACCAGAAGACACCCTCCACAAGAAACCCAACCCTGAGGCCCCAGGCCGTCCATCGATGCTTGGTGTGGGAACGCCACGCTTTCCGCTGCAAGACCTCCGAAAGTCTATGTTTATTGAGCATCGTTCAACCGATCCCCCTCCCAAGCGGCGTGGCCTGGGACCCACTGGCCGATTTACTCCCCTAGATGGGGACATAGGCCGTATCCTTCGGGCTTCGAGGGGTGCATCTCCAGCTGGGGGGGGTAATTTGGTGGGGGTCTAGCAGAGGATGCACATGGGGATGGGGATCGGTGAAACGATACCGACTTTATGTTGGCATGTCTCCCTAGAGGGGGATTTTGGACGAAAAATCAAAAATACCCCCAAAAATATTGCAAAATAGCGAAAATTGGTCCAAAAATAGTCCCCTGACTATTTTTGACTGTTTTTGAATATTCCCCCTGTAAAGGGACAGGCCCGACTGATGTAGGTTGTTGTCCCTCGTCGAGCTCGGTTTCACCCTTGCGAGCCGGAGTTTCTCGGGGGCGGCGCCGCGGGCGAGCAGCCCAGGCGCGGGCATGGTACGCACCTCCGCCGGGGGGGCCTCGCCGAAGGCACCGCGCCCTCCCTCGGCGCCCCCCCGGTGCATGCGCTGCTCCCCCCTTGGGCGGTTCGCCCCTGTCGCTGGGGGGCCGAAAAACGGTACAGGATGAACCGTTCCTTTTCCTCCTCCTCCTCCTCCTCCTCCTCCTCCTCCTCCTCCTCCTCCTCCTCCTCCTCCTCCTCCTCCTCCTCCTCCTCCTGCTCCTCCTCCTGCTCCTGCTCCTCTGCCTCCTCCTTTTCCTCCTCCTCCTCCTCCTCCTCCTCCTCCTCCTCCTCCTCCTCCTCCTCCTCCTCCTCCTCCTCCTCCTCCTCCTCCTCCTCCTCCTCCTCCTCCTCCTCCTCGCCCTCGGGGACGCCTGCCTCCCGGGCGGCTGCCAAGCTCGTGCCCCTGCGCGGCACCGCAGGGGCACAAACTCTGCGGCCGCCTGGAGGGCAGGCGCCCCCGGGGGCGGAGAAGTTCAATCATCCTACACCGCTCTTCGGCGCCCTGGCAGTCGATCATCGTCGCCTCCGGGTTTGCGTGTCCGCCCTCCGCTAAATCGTCCGGCGGCACGGGAGGCGGGCGCCCGCGGCACGTCGGGGGGGGGCCGCGGAGCAGAAGCGAGAGGCGAGGCGCGCGGCGCGCGGCTGCTGGGGGAGGGGCGCTCGGGAGCGGCAGGGAGGAGAGCGGCAGGAGGTGGCAGGAAGCGGGGGGCACGAACGAGGAGGCCGCGGGAGGATGAGTTCCAAACTGGATGGGTATGGCGGCCTTCCGACCCCCAAGGGTGAGGAGGAGGAGGAGGAGGAAGAGGAGGAGGGCGAGGAGGAGGAGGAGGAGGAAAAAGAGGAGGACAAGGAGGAGGAGGAGGAGGAGGAGGAGGAGGAGGAGGAGGAGGAGGAGGAGGAGTCACACTGCATCAGGACGGGGGGGGGCGGAGGCTAGTCCTGTCCCCGCAGCAGCAACGCGGCCAACACCGATTGGCGGGCGATTGCCCGCGCTCTGGCCTGCACAATCTGCCTGATCGTAAGAGTGCGACCTTTCCCGACTCTTAGTGTGTTACATACAGTATACATGATTTCTAAGGCTAAAGCTACACTACCCAGCTGGGACGTAGAATTCTGATCTAGAAAGGAAAAAAGATAAACCGGTGCTGACAATCGCCCTCACCCCAGGACCCAGGAAGAAGAGGAAGAGAAGCCCTCACTGCTTCCAACAGAGCTGGACATTGAAGATAGTGCCCCAAAGAGTCTCCTCCCATGGCCATACATCTGCAGACACAAGCCATAGTGCCAATTCTATACCTCTTAGTAGTGTTCCACGCATTACACCATGTTTTAAATATTGCTGCAAGCAAGAAGGGCGGCAACTTCTGGCTGATGATGCGCATCCGCATCACCGTCAAGCTCACCTGCGACACAAAGGAAAGCACAGGGAAGCAGAAAGTGTTGTAGGCGAGGATATCCATTGAGAAGGGGAGCCACATGCTCCTGACCTGACGTGCACGCTGGCGCAGAGCAGCATTGGGGCCTTGCCAGCAACCTTCGCAGGCATCTAGTCCCAAGATAATTCCCAGGTACCGCGTCTTCCTAGTGATACGAAACCCGCGAACCCTTAGCCCATGTTGCGTAAACTCATTGATTATGAAGTCCTTCGGGAGGCCCGAGGGGGGTACCAGGAAGGTTTTGCCAGGACGGATTAGCACCAGTCATCCGAGCCAAAAACAGCATATCCACGATCAGCCCAGGAAGGGTTCGGAACAGATTATGCGACACGTGGGCAAGGTCGCCCGCGAAACCATAGAGCGAGCTAGCAGGGCCTTGCTTAGCAATCAACTGGTGAGCCATATATCGTAGAGCGGGGTCCACCACAAATACATACAACACTCCACTTAGGGGGCACCCTTGTTCTATCCCTCTGAAGATCTCGAAGTAGTTGCGCGGGCTATACCTTACCCGCTTACCCGCTTACACAACTGCTGGATCGCTTGCAAGATGCCTGCTGGCATTCTCATCTTCCCCATGCAGTGAAACATAAAAGCGCGCGCCAACGATGGGCATGCCGCCTCGATGTCAAAGAAGGCTGCTCCTGCATGCGCATGCCCTTGGACGCTCGCCCACAGCATCATCTGCAAGTCGAGCGAGATCCGGTGATCCATCTCATTCCTGCCTGCGAGAAAAACCGTCTGGATCCGATCCACCGCGACGCTAGCAGAGTGTGGCACTGGACTCGCTAAAGCACTAGATATCAGCTTATTGCCCGCGTTGGATAGCGCGAGTGGCTTAGTTTTTGCCGCCCCCCGATCCCCCCCACATTTGCTCTCGCTTTCGTCATGCTGCTAAGGCCTCGTTAAGGTCCTCGTCCACCTCCCCGCCACCGATGATATATAGATAGAGTTGGTACAAATGCTCTAGAACGTGCTCAGGCACTGCACGGAATACCGCCCTTCCCAGGAGCTGAGTCCTTCTCACGACGGGCCAGCTCGAAAAACTGGCCCCAGCTCAGCGCCCAAATCGTGGACTCGGCAACAGGCTTGATGAATGGCACAATAGCAGGATACAACGCAGTTTCCGCGTTCCACACCCTGCCTACCCCCCCCCCCCCCCAGTAACGAGCAAATTCACGGTCACATTCATCAGGGCACTGCAAACTCTCACCATCAGTCGCGATGATGTTGCGCAGAAAAACACGGCGATGCGCAGGGGCCCACGCCGCCGCCAGACGTCGAATTCGTTCGATGTGCGTACGTTAGGTTCGTGTCGCGTCGACCCTGGCGTTAGTTTCTGACACCGCGCTGGATCGTTCAACCTTGAACGATCGGCCGTCTCCGCAACGTCCAATCGTTCAACATCGACCGATTCTGGGCCGCCGTCGGCGTTCAACGTTGAACGTCGGCGGCGGGGTCGCCGCCGGTCGACGCGACGCGAACCTACCGTACTCTTTCTCGTTTGTGACATACTTTCATCCCTCCTGACCTCCCTTTCTTCAGCAGCAAACTGTTCACGCACGAGCTTGCTCAAAAATTCGTGGAAGCCAGCGAAGTCGATCCAGCATCCTAACTGGCAACCGTAAAAATCCTGCAGCCGATCAACAGCCCTGCACGCTCTCCTCGCCGCGCCTCCGCGCCCATGACGGTGCGATCTGACCAACGCAAGACGCCATGCAATCTGTTCTGCTGGGCCCCTGGGCCCTCGTTTTTCCAAAGTGATGTTAGTCCGGCTCGTAGCTTCATACATAAGTTGCTTACAAGTCTTCACGGCCTCTGGAATGCGTCTAGGTATATCGTGCTCTTCCACGGGGGCCTTCAGGATCTCACCGAACTCTGGAGAACTCGAAACCCATCTCGGGATGGCTATCCTGGCAGGCGGAGGCGTCGGGGACAGGACAACAAACACCGGCACGTGGTCGCTGATACTTCCTGGCTTCATGATATCCCACACGGCGCCAGAGACAGGGCTCAGGTCCAAGACATCGCGCGAAGGGATGGAGAGATAGATCCAATCGTCTCGTCCCAAGGAACACGGAACTCCACGATCATCTGCCTGATATGATTGCTGGGTGTATCGATTCTGCTCGATCTCAAGAAGGTTAGGGAAGAGGGCGTCGAAGTGCTCACCGATGATGTCTGAACCCATTTCCTGCAGAGAATCATTCAGCCGCAGCCTGCCTTCTCCGACCACCTGGAAATTGAAATCTCCTGCCAAGATGCTGGTGACAGCGTGCTGAGGGTACATAGAGAGTAGGAAATGCGATGGAGGATGGTCTTGGACTGGGCGTAAGAATAGGAGGGGTCAAGGTGGAAGTTGTAGAGGTGTAGGGCCCCAGCTGGCCCTGACATCTGAAGTCTCGAAAGACGGCCTGGATCAGCAGGCTGACCTTCCTCGTCCTCGAGATCCGAAAAAAATACTTCGGTGAAGTGGCGGGAGAGGCGCTCGTGCACCATCGTTACCACTCCGCCCGCAGCAGTCCTATATGTAAAGGAGCCGAACATCACCCATTCTGGATACAATTTCTGAAATTGGTCCAGGTCCCCAAGGTGCCCGTGAGTCTCCTGAAGCATAATGACATCGTACGTTTGCGACAGTCTTCGGACCGCACCGAACGCGCCCTGGATGATTTCCCGAGACGTCAAAATAGATCCGAACAGAGTGTGAGCGCTCCACGACACAATCCTCATAGGTCCCGAGAGAGGCATACAGAAGGCTGCAGACCTTCGAGTGGTGAAACGAGCGGGGCAGGGTCAGTCAGAGTCTCGTCGCCCCTCACGTCAACTCTCCCGTTCGCAGGCCTGGGGCCACCAGGTGTTCCTTGATCTGGTACCTCAGCCACATCTAGTCACAGGGTGGCTGCTTCAATCATCTCTTGCACCGAGTCCTCCTTCACATTGAACGCCGCGAAGCTGCTCATGACAGGGGTGAACACATAGCCCGAGAGCTCATCACCCGTGATGTGCACCATCTCGCAGACCTCCATGGCTGACGTGAAATGCATGAGGCCCTGGTAGCCGTTGACCCCGAGTTTGTAGCCACTCAAGTCCTTGCCGCCATTGCGCAGCAACGTGAGAATGCCCTCGTCGATCTTGCTGGCCGCTCGCTGGCAGGCTCGCACATCCACTGGGATGTCACCCCGGGGGGAGATTTCGTACTTGACGCCATCGCGTGGATCCTTCCATGACAGATCGTGGTCCTTCAAGAGGTTGCTGAACTCCCGCGCCTGCAACCCACTCGTGAAGGTGAGGCTGTAGCTCTTCCCCACCCTGGAGATCTGCACTGTCATGGCATCCTTGATGTGTTGAAGAAGCAATGGTGAAACCTGTTCGTCAAAATGTTGGCGCCTTTGCGCCTCTGTCAAGCTCCGCGGGAAGGTCCCCATCCAGCGTCGCAATCGATTCTGCGCACTGTCTTCTGGGCCCCCATCAGTACGGCGAAGTTTGGTCGCTGGCCCACCAGTCGCAGCTTTCGCCCCTGAAGAAGATGCAGAGCGTAACGTTTTGATGTCGTTCTCGAGATTGCGGAGCTTGGCGTTGGCCAACTTCAGGTTGTGAATCTCCGACGCTTGCGTAGTCACAACTTCTGATAGGGAGGATACGTTTGCAGCAAACCCTGCAATCTGCACCTGCTGATCTGCCAGCCCTCTCTTCACCGTACTAGCCATGTCCGCCATCTGTTTCGTGATGTTCTTCTGGAACGCAGTGAACGCGTCCAAAATGGATTCCCCCATTGCACGGCCTCTGGCTCGCTGGACCCCCTGACAGGAAAGCCGTGGGCTGCGCGCGCCCCAGGTGGGCCCTGTGCCCGCTCGAACCGAGGTTGGAAGTTCAGGAGAAGGCCCCTTGAGCCAAAATGGCTACGGAAGAAGGAGGAGGAGGAGGAGGAGGGCAAGGAGGACCGAGCAAGCAGGAGGGCCGAAACTCCTGCCATCCGGTCTGGCGCCGGACGATGAGGGAAGGAGCGGGATAGGGGAAAGGGTCGCCCAATAATTGCCCTGCTTAGACGAGCACCCGACCACAGGGCGAGGTAGAAAACAGGATTGGGGGAAGAGGGCGGAACAGTAAAGACAGCAATCACCGCATTCAAAACGAAGGTCGGCCGAATGGAGGGCGCGGGGGGGGAACCACGAAAACGAAACAGCTCAACACTTCACACGAGTGTCCTGACGTGGTGGCGGAAGCCCAATTGAATCATGCTCCCCACCTCTTCTATACCAAAGGAAATGGGACCCTCTTCAGGGCTGACCCCGTTAACCCTGCCCAGGTTGCTCTCTGGTAAGGTCCGCGAACTTCAGGCCCGCGGACGGCGACAGGTAGCCTGGCAGCTTGCCGGTGATCTCCGGGGTGATGTAGCCCATGGTCGCCAGCATCGACACCCGCCCGTGCTTCAACTCAGTCTGGCGGCGGCGCGCGAAATTCGCCGTGCTTCCGTCCGCGGTGAACCCGGCCGGGTCCCAGAAGCCGACGGGGTCCTGCACGCCCAGCTCGCTCTCGAAGGCGCGCAGCGGAGAGCCCGTGTAGAGAGCCCAGTCGCCCCATGCCGAGCCAGTGAGGCCGTCCTGGAAGAACATGCCGATGATAGCCATCATCGCCAAGCGGCCTCCCGCGATACTCTTCTCTCGTGCTCGCTCCCTATTGCCCCATCCTGCCCCACCGTGGCAGTCGAACAAAACTGTTTGAAGGGGCCATGGGACACACAAATAAATACACACAAATAAAAGGATCCCCCATATTTTCCCATATTTTCTGGGTTTCTGTCTTCCCCCCCACTTCCCATATTTTCCCATATTTTCTGGGGAATCGACGAATAATTGTGTCTGTGTGTTTTTTGCCCTCCTGACTGTTGCTGAAAAGTTCATCACCAGGCAAGCCGATACGCCAACGACCCAAGTTCAGTCTTAGCGACCCCCCTTGCAACGCAAGCATCCGAAGCAAAGTACATCGGTCCCAAATTCCAAGGCCACGGTCCCTCTGGACGAAGTCCGCTCTGCGATGTTGGCGCCATGACAGTTCGTGGCTTAGCGGCTCAGCCACGCCATTTCTTCTCCGCGCATCCCACAGAACCTGGACCTGGCACGCCGCGAGTCACCGCGGGGTCCTACACGACCCTCGAGCCGATCGACCGAACGACTGGCCCGTCGACCGACCAACCGCCTCTGGAGGGGCGGGAGGAGTCCTCTCCGGAGGCCGGGGGAGCCTCTCAGGAGCACTGCGAAGCCCCTCAGGAGGAGCCACACACTCTGAGAAAAACCAAGGCCTCTCAGGAGACCCATAAGGTATTTCGGAACGCTAGTTTCGGAAGGCGGGCGAAACTCGTCAAGACGCCCAAAAGGGCCGTCGGAAAGCCCACGAGGCCTGCCAGGAGGCCTGGGACGCCTTCGAAGGAAACCCACGTGGGTCCTCAGTAGGCACCGGAGGCCCACCTAGAAACCCACGAGGACCCTCGGGAAGCCCAGGCGCCTCCCGGAAAGCTTGCAGAAGCCTCGCGGCAAGCCCGCGCGGGGTTCTTCAAGAACCCGAGGCCTCTGAGAAGGCCCTGCGAGCTTCTCAGGGGGGGGGGGGGGAGGGTGCCCTCGGGAGACCCGCGGGGCCCTCGTGACACGATCTTCAGGTCGGGCATGTCCTCCTCTGGGCGGGATTTGGGCGAAAAATAAAAAACTCATAGGGGGGTAAATGGGGGGGCGAAGGCTCCTTAGGAGGCTGCTTCTCGGAAGGTTTCTTCCTAGGGGGTCTCTTCCTAGAGGCCTCCCAAAAGGCCAAGAGGCCCCAAGAGGTCCCCAAGGGGCCCCCAAAACGCTCCCAGGAGTCCCCACAACGACTGGACTGTACATGGTCTGGACGTCTGACCCGCGAGGAGAATCACAATCATTCGCCCTCTAGTTCTCTCCTTCCCCATGCATCCTCCCTCCCACGCCCCCCCCCATCCCGCATCAGCCCGCTTGGCCCAAACCCCCCTGCCGTTGGCAATCTCCGCCGCCAGCTTTTTCTGCTTCTCCCCAGCGTCGCTGGACGTCAGCACCTTGAAGCCGAAGTCACCCGCCGCGGCAGCGGTGCCCGCGGACTGGTCCTGTGACAGCTCGCAGAACGCACCGTATGCGACGATCTGAGCCCAACCCGCGGCGGGAACCTTGGAGATTGCACCGAGGCCGTTCGGGATGTCCGCGAACTTCAGGCCCGCAGACGGAGACAAATATCCTGGCAGCTTGCCGGTGATCTCTGGGGTGATGTATCCCATGGTCGCCAGCATCGACACGCGGCCGTGCTTCAACTCAGTCTGGCGGCGGCGCGCGAAATTCGCCGTGCTTCCGTCCGCGGTGAACCCGGCCGGGTCCCAGAAGCCGACGGGGTCCTGCCGCGCGCCGCTCCGCGCGGAGGATCACAGACCGCTGTTGAGGAGAAAAACACGGGGACCATGACCAAGACTGAACGCGGAAACGCCGTGTCGATCTTGGCCACCGTCGATTAATGCGTGGGTCACTCTCGCGAATCAGCGACGGCCCACATGGGCCATCACCAAGACCGACATCGACACGATCCCGCGGCATCTTGGTCATGTCCCCGTGTTTCTTCCCTCGACACTGGTTGAGCAGGGACCGACCGCTCTGGCATTCGATTCGGCCAAACACAACAGAACGCACGAAGAACAAAGCAACGAATGCTCTCAGAGCAGAAAGAGAAGGTATTAAAACCATACGATATCAGCCAGAAATTGTATCAAAACATTTCGTGCAGACCACAAACAAAGTTATCGACATATTCGTCGGCTGGCCTAACTCGACGAGCCAGGACGCCTCGCCACTGCTGGAACCGGCTGGAGGACCCAGGATCCGCCACGCGGGGCCTGTCTGTGGCGACATCGACGGAGTCGCAGTGGAAGTCCCGCGCCGCCCTCGGCGTCCAGGGGCCATCTCTGGGCCCCAGGCCCGTCAAGAGTCGGGAGGAGGAGGAGGAGGAGGAGGAGGAGGAGGAGGAGGCGGAGGAGGAGGATTGTGCTCACGCCACCAAACCTGCCGCCACTGGGCGGGCATGGGTGCGGCAGCCGTCCCCACGTCTTGGGAGGTGGGTCCGATGGCGGGGAAAGCGTTTCTCCGATGGGCTGGATGGATGGCCTCCCCCTCGCAAGGCGGCATGCGAAACCCTCGGGCATGGGGAGTTCTCGGTCGCAGCTGAAGAAAAAAGTACTCAGCCGGCCCAGTGGAGGGGGTCGGGAGCTCCAGGGGGCTGGCGATTCGAGCAGGGCGCGCGACGCCAGTCGGAAGCGTGGGGCAAACCGACCAACCCTGGGACACGCACGGAATCGAGGGCTGGTGTTCCTCCTCCCCCTCTGCCTCCTCCACCTCCTGCTTCTGCTCCTCCTCCTCCTCCACCTCCTCCACCTCCTCTTGGCCACCTGGGCCAGTTTTCGGACTTCCACGAGGGTCGCCCTGAAAAGGGGCTGTCTCCCGAAGGACTTCCACGGCCCCCAGAAGAGCGAGTGGCTCTTACCGTGTGTGTGTGTGTTGTGTGTTGTGTGTGTGATGTGTGTGTGTGTTGTGTGTTGTGTTGCGTGTGTTGTGTGTTGTGCGTTGTGTGTTGTGTTTTGTGTGTTGTCTGTTGTGTGTTGTGTGTTGTGCGTTGTGTGTTGTGTGTGTTGTGTGTTGTGTGTTGTGTGTTGTGTGTTGTGTGTTGTGTGCTGTATGATGTGAGTTGTGTGCTGTGTGTGTTGTGTGTTGTGTGTGCTGTGTGTGTTGTGTGTTGTGTGTTGTGTGTGTTGTGTGTTGTGTGTTGTGTGGTGTGTCGTGTGGTGTGTTTTGTGTGTGAAGCGTGTATTGTGTGTTGTGTGTTGTGTGTTGTGAGTGCTGTGTGTTGTGTGTTGCGTGTTTTGTGTTGTGTGTGATGTGTGCGTTGTGTGTTGTGTATTGTGTGTTGTTTGTGGTGTGTGGTGTGTGTTGTGCGTTGTGTGTGTTGTGTTGTGGTGTGTGTTGTGTGTTGCGTGTGCTGTGCGTTGTGTGTGTTGTGTGTTGCGTGTTGTGTCTTGTGTCTGTTGTGTGTTGTGTGTGTTGTGTGTGATGTGTGTGATGTGTAGTGTGCTTGTTGTGTGTTATGTGTGTTGTGTGTGTTGTGTGTTGACTGCGTTGTGTGTGTTGTGTGTTGTGTGTCTTGTGTGGTGTGTTGTGTGGTGTGTGTTGTGTGGTGTTTGTTGTGTGTTGTGAGTTGCGTGTGTTGTGTGTTGTGTGAGTTGTGTGTTGTGAGTGCTGTGTGCTGTGTGTTGTGTGTGTGTTGTGTGTAGTGTCTGCTGTGTGCGTTGTGTGTTGTGTGTTGTATGTGTTGTGTGTTGTGTGTGTTGTGTGTTGTGTGTGCTGTGTAATGTGTGTTGTGTGTTGCGTGTGCTGTGTGTTGTGTGTGGTGTGTGTTGTGTGGTGTGTGTTGTGTGGTGTGTGTTGTGTGTATTATGTGTTGTGTGTTGTGTGTTGTGTGTTGTGTGTGTTGTGTGTTGGTTGCGTTGTGTGGTATGTGTGTTGTGTGTTGTGTTTTGTGTGTTGTGTTGTGTGTTTTGTGTGGTGTGGGTTGTGTGTTGTGTGTTGTGTCTTGCGTATATGGCGTGTGTTGTGTGTTGTCTGCTGCGTGTTGTGTGTTGTGTGTCGTGTGTGTTGTGTGTGCTGTATGTGTTGTGTGTTGTGTGTTGCGCGTGTTGTATGTGATGTGCGTTGTGTGTCCTGTGTGTTGTGCTGTGCGTGGTGTGTATTGTGTTGTGTGTTGTGTGTTGTGTATTGTGTGTCGTGTGCTTGTGTGTTGTGTGTTGTATGTGTTGTGTGTAGTGTGTGTTGTGTAATGTGTGTTGCGTGTGTGTTGTGTGTTGTGTGTTGTGTGTTGTCTATGCCGTGTGTTACGTATATTGTGTATGTGTTGTGTGTTGTGTGTTGTGTGCTGTGAATGTTGTGTGTGTTTTGTGTTGTGTGTGTGTTGTATGTTGTGTGTTGTGTTTGATGTGTGTGTGGTGTGTGGTGTGTGTGCTGTGTGCTGTGTGTTGTGTATTGTGTGTATTGTGTGTTGTGTGTTGTGCGTTATGCGTGTTGTGTGTGAGCGTGTGTGCGTGTGCGTGTGCGTGAGTGTGTGTGTGCGTGTGTGTGCGTGTGTGCGTGTGCGTGTGCGTGTGTGTTGTGCGTGTGCGTGTGCGTGTGCGTGTGCGTGTGCGTGTGCGTGTGCATATGCGTGTGCGTGCGCGTGTGCGTGTGTGCGTGTGCGTGTGTGTGTCCGTGTGCGTGTGCGTGTGCGTGTGTGCGTATGGGTGTGTGTGCGGGTGTGCGTGTGTGTGTGTGTGAGTGCGTGTGGGTGTGTGGGTGTGTGGGTGTGTGGGTGCGTGGGTGCGTGGGTGCGTGGGTTGGGTGTGTGGGTGTGTGGGTGTGTGGGTGTGTGGGTGTGTGGGTGTGTGGGCGTGTGGGTGTGTGGGTGTGTGGGTGTGTGGGTGTGTGGGTGTGTGTGTTGTGTGTGTGCGTGTGCGTGCGTGTGCGTGCGTGTGCGTGCGTGGGTGTGTGTGGGTGTGTGTGGGTGCGTGTGGGTGTGTGGGTGTGTGGGTGTGTGGGAATGTGTGTGTTGTGTGTGTTCTGTGTGTGACGTGTGCGTGGTTGCGCGCGCGCGTGCGCGGGTGCGTGCGCGTGCGCGTGCGCGTGCGCGTGCGCGTGCGTTCGCGCGTGCACGCGTGCGCGCGCCTGCGCGCGCCGGTGCGCGCGTGTGCGCGTGTGCGTGTGTGCGCGTGTGCGCGTGTGCGTGTGTGCGTGTGTGCGTGCGTGCGTGCCTGTGTGCGCGTGCGCGCTTGCGCGCGTGCGCGCGTGCGCGCGTGCGCGCGTGCGCGCGTGCGCGCGTGCGCACGGTGCGCGCTTGTGCGCGTGAGCGATTGTGTACGTGTGTACGTGTGTGCGTGTAAGCGCCTGCGCGTGTGCGCGTGTCCGCGTGTGCCTGGGTTTGCCTGTGCGCGTGTGCGTGTGTGCGTGTGCGTGTGCGCGTGCGTGCGTGTGCGTGTGTGCGTGTGCGTGTGTGCGTGTGTGCGTGTGTGCGTGCGCGCGTGTGGGTGTGTGCGTGTGTGCGTGAGTGCGTGTGTGTGCGTGTGCGTGTGTGTGTGCGTGTGTACGTGTGTACGTGGGTGCGTGTGTGCGTGTGTGCGTGCGTGCGTGTGTGCGTGTGTGCGTGTTGCGAGTGTGCGTGTGCGTCTGTGTGTGTGTGATCGTGCGTGCGTGTGCTTGTGCGTGTGTGCATGTGTGCGGGTGCGTGTGTGCGTGTGCGCGTATGTGCGTGCGTGCGTGTGCGCGTGTGTGCGCGTGTGCGTGTGCGCGTGTGCGCGTGTGTGCGTGTGCGCGTGTGCGTGCGTGTGTGTTTGTGTGCGCGTGTACGTGTGTGTGTCGGTGTGTGCATGTGTGCGTGTGTGCATGTGTGCGTGTGTGCGTGTATGCGTGTGTGCGTGTGCGCGTGTGTGTGAGTGCGTGTGTGCGTGTGTGCGTGTGTGCATGTGCGTGTGTGTGTGTGAGTGCGTGTGCGCGTCTGTGCGTGTGTGCGTGTGCGCGTGTGTGCGTGTGTGCGTGCGCGCGCGTGTGCGTGTGTGCGTGTGTGCGCGTGTGCGCATGTGCGCGTGTGTGCGTGTGCGCATATGTGCGTGTATGCGTGTGTGTGTATGTGCGCGTATGTGTGCGCGTATGTGTGGGCGCGTGTGCGTGTGCGCGTGCGTTTGTGTGTATGTGAGCGTGTGCGTGTGCGCTTGCGTGTGCGTGTGCGTGTGTGCGTGTGCGTGCGCGTGTGTGCGTGTGCGTGCGCGTGTGGGTGTGGGTGTGCGTGTGTAGTTGTGTGCGTGTGTGCTTGTGCATTCGCGTGTGTGTACGCGTGTGAGTGTGTGTGCGCGTGTGTGTGTGAATGTGCGTGTGCGTGTGCGTGTGCGTGTGCGTGTGTGCGTGTGCGTGTGTGCGTGTGCGTGTGTGTAATTGTGTGTGAGTGTGTGGTTGTGTGTGTTTGTGTGCGGTTATGTGCGGTCGTGTGTGATTGTGTGTGTGTGTCCAGACGGACCGTCCCTGGGGCAAGATCGGAATCAAGACCTGGCTGCTCCTGGGCCCCCATGGCCCCCAGGGTGGCCGACCAACCACACGGGCCAAGGGGTCGCTCTCCAAGCTCTCAGCGTCGCCCTCCCCCTCGCCCTCCCCTCGCCCCCTCTCCTGCCCTTCCCCCCGCCGTCTTCCTCATCACGGCTCCCTGCGTGGCGCACTTCGCGGGCGTGGCGCACCCGGTGTCTGCTCTGGCCCACAGTTGGCCGTCCGCCGGGTGGCAGCCGGCGCCTACGCTGAGCCTCGGGTCTGTTGGGAACTTCTCCCGCCCCTGACACCCCTCTCTCCCTCCCTGCAGAAAGGGGGAAGGGGGCAGGAAGCTCCGCCCGCACTAGGGGCCCAACGAGGCCCGGGCAGGGGCAGCTCGCGGCGGGGCCCCTGTGCGAAACCACAGTCAGGCGTGACGGGAGCCTTCCCTCCCTCCCTCCCTCGTCCGCAGGTCCTGCACGCCGAGCTCGCTCTCGAAGGCCGCCAGAGCCACCTTCTGGGTGGCCGTCTGCGCGGCCGGCTTCCTGGCGACAGGAGGAGGAGGAGGAGGTGGAGGAGCAGAACGAGGAGGAGGTGGAGGAGTAGGAGGAGGCACACAAGGAGGCGTTCTTTGGGAAGCACGGGCCGGTCCCTGGCGAGACACGCGGGAGCCCAGACTTCTGGGCGTCGCGGAGAAAAACTCGACTGGCGTCACTCCTCGACTTCGTCCTCCCGAGGCGCCACCTCCTCCTCCTCCTCCTCCTCCTCCTCCTCCTCTTCCTCCTCCTCCTCCTCCCTCCCTCCCTCCCTCCCTCCCTCCCTCCATCCCTCCCTCCCTGCCCTCCCTCCTCCTCCTCCTCCTCCTCCTCCTCCTTCTCCTCGTACCCTCTCCGCTTGATGTGCGGCGCGTGGGTCCGTACGGTTTGTCGTTTCAACCATGTTTTTGGGCCTACACTCGGGCCCCAGGACCATCATGTCTCGTGAGCCCGCGCCGTGAAAAGAATAGACGTCGGCGGTACGGACTCCGTCAGGCCTGGCCACCCGTCAGAGAGCCTTCCAGGGGCATTCGTCCTCCTTCCTCTTCCCAACTCACCCGTGCTTTCCTCATTCCCTGGCTGTTCCTCCTCCTCCTCCTCCTGCTCCTCTTCCTCTTCTTCCTCCTCCTCTTCCTCCTCCTCCCTTTCCTCGTCATGCTCCTCCTGCTCCTCCTCCTCCTCCTCCTCCTCATC